GACTTGCAGCGATTCACTGAGTGTAGGGGGAAGGCCTGGGGGAGCTGAGTGAAGCTGTGGGGCGCAGGTCACCACTGTGGGGTCTGGCAGGGGAGGAGCTACTCCGAGGAGAGGGGTTTCGTTTGAGATACCTGTTACCCCATTCCAGCCCGCGTACCTTCCTGGTTTAGTTCACAGTATGTTTGCGCCGGAGAGGACAGACGGTGTACCAGCAAGTCCTGTCAGTGGAGCGCCCGAGTGCCCTGCGCAGCTGGAACTGGGGTCTGTGTGGGTACTTTGCATTCTACCACGCCCTCTATCCCAGAGCCTGGACTGTCTATCAGCTGCCTGGCCAGAATGTCACCCTCACCTGCCGCCAGGTCACACCCATCTTGCCCCATGACTACCAGGTGAGGCTCCCCCTTGGTTTCCTCTGTGCTCTCCCTTCCCCAGGATCTCTCTCCCCTGGAAGTGTCGTCACTTGTGCAAGAGAGGGGGTGGGGCATGAACTTCACGCTGGTTTCCTAGGACCACCACCCGACTGGTCTTCTGTCTCCTAGTAGACAGCCTGTCAGGCAATATGGGGAGATGCAAGTGGAAGACACTATATTAGCGGGTGTCTGAGTCAGCTCCTCGGTGCCAAGGACTGATCCTGGGAAGTGGGGCCAGAAGGGCTACTCAGGGACCATCTGAGTCTGACCTTCTGCTCCCAGGACAGCAGCCTGCCTGTAGGAGTCTTTGTGTGGGATGTGGAAAATGAAGGGGATGAAGCCCTGGAAGTGTCCATCATGTTCTCCATGCGGAACGGGCTTGGTGGTGAAGACGATGCTGCCGGGGGGTTGTGGAATGAGCCCTTCTGTCTGGAGCGTGATGGGGAGACTGTACGGGGGCTGCTGCTGCATCATCCGGCCCACCCGAACCCCTACACCATGGCTGTGGCTGCGCGACTCTCGGTACGGGGGAGCCTGCCCCATAGCATTGCCCTGCAGCCCTGCTCTCAGCCTGGCCTGAGCCCAACCCCATCCCACTGTGGTCTCTTCACTTCCTCAACTCCTGAGTCACACCCTCACCATAGCCCTCGAGCCGGTGGAGCTCGGAGGCGGGACGATGTAGGGGGGACTTAGTCAGGAGCCACGCACCTATGGAGCCTCTCCTCACAAAGCCTTTGACCCCTTAACAGGCAGACACAACGGTAACCCACCTCACAGCCTTTGACCCTGACAGCGCGGGGCAGCAGGTGTGGCAGGATCTACTTCTGGATGGACAGCTGGACTCCCTCGCTGGTGATGGGGGGTCTCACGGGGAGGTGGAGGGAAGAGAGGAGGTCCCTGTCTCCAGAACAGGGCTGGGAAGCCTGGTAACAACAGGCCTTCTTCCCATGTCAGGGATCCCTGTGGCCAAAGTGGGTCCTCGCTCATTCTGTGCTTCTCTCAGGAAAAAGCCTCCCTTCGCAGAAAGGAGTGGGCATCGCTGGGGCTGTGTGTGTTTCGGGCAAGCTGCCACCGCGAGGCCGGCACCGCTTAGAGTTCTCACTGGCTTGGGACATGCCCAGAATCATGTTTGGAGCAAAGGGCCAGGTCTACTACAGGTGATGGGAATGAGCATGCACGGATCATGGTGCTGGGGCTCTGAGCGGAGCCCATGTTCTCATCCCTCCCCTTCTGTCCACCCAGGCGATACACGAGGTTCTTTGGCCCAGACGGTGATGCAGCACCTGCCCTCAGCCACTATGCCCTGAGCCACTATGCCGACTGGGAAGAGAAGATCTCGGCCTGGCAGAGCCCGGTACTGGAGGACAGGTGCCAGTGCAGCCCATCTCTTGCCTTTCTCCCAGGCACTCACGTTCTCACTCAGCCCGCTTGATTCACTCTCCACCACCAACGTCAACAGAGCTGGTCTGGGATTCACTCGGGACCCCTACTCCACTGAACCGCAGAATCCTCCCTTTCCTGGAAGTGCCACCCTCATGAGACCATTCCCTCCTGCCTCCCCAGATCCTTGCCTGCCTGGTACAAATCTGCACTGTTCAATGAGCTCTACTTCCTGGCTGACGGGGGCACAGTATGGCTGGAAGTTCCTGAAGACTGCCTGCCAGAGGAGCTGGCGGGCGGCATGGGTCAGCTGCGCCCCCTCCTGCGGGAGTACGGCCGGTTTGCCTACCTTGAAGGTACGGGCTGCCAGGGGGCGTGGTGTGTGTCCACGAGGCCAGTCAGTGCCCTGCGCCGCGGCAGGAGGATGGGTTTTGCCTATCCCAGGGCACTGGCTAGAACATGGAGTGTGATGGTGCCCTGCACGCCAGTTCTAGAGGTGGGCTAGGCAGGGCAGTGTGAAGCAGCAGCAGGCGTTCTGGCAACGGTGTTCTCCCCTTCGTTTCTCCAGGCCAGGAATACCGCATGTACAACACATACGATGTCCACTTTTATGCATCCTTCGCTCTCGTCATGCTCTGGCCCAAACTTGAGCTCAGCCTGCAGTATGACATGGGTGAGGGTCCCTTCTGTGCCCCTCCTGCTTCATCCCCACAGCCCTGAACCTGGTGGTCCCTGGCACCTCCTCCACTCAGACATGTGGATCCTGCTCACTGGTTCCCCTCGAGTCACACACACAGTTCTGTGCCCCACCCCAAGCCTACCCATGCCCTGCCCCGCACCCCCCCTTGTGTATCTGCTCCCCCAGCTCTGGCCACTCTCAGGGAGGACCTGACGCAGCGACGGTTCCTGATGAGTGGGATCACAGCACCGGTGAAGCGGAGGAACGTCATCCCCCATGATGTTGGGGACCCAGGTACAAGTCCCTCCACCCCAAGGGCGCTTCCCTTCCTCGGTTGCTGCGCTCTCCACCTGGGCCCGCAGTGCAGGTGACCAGATCTCCTCCCCTCCCCAGACGACGAGCCGTGGCTGCGGGTCAACGCGTACGAGATCCACGACACTGGGGACTGGAAGGACCTGAACCTGAAGTTCGTGCTGCAGGTTTACCGGGACTATCACCTGACGGGGGACCAGCGCTTCCTGAGGGACATGTGGCCTGTGTGTCTGGTGAGGGGCGTGTGCGCAGTGGTCTGTGCACAGGGGCATGTCTCTGGGTGTCTGGGGAAAGCCCAGCTGGCTACTGGGGTCTTCTCTCAGTATCTAGGTCTTCAGTATCTTGATCCCTCTCTAGGCCGTGATGGAGTCTGAAATGAAGTTTGACAAGGACCACGACGGACTCATCGAGAATGGAGGCTATGCAGACCAAACCTATGACGGATGGGTCACCACAGGCCCCAGGTTGGGGGGTAGGGGTTTCCAGGGCCTGCGGTGGGGAACTGGGCATCGAGGGGCTGCGGGCTTACTCTGCCTGTGACACTGTGTGAGGGTGGCTGGAGCGGCCGGCTGACTCCCCTAACCCGTGTCCCTCATCAGCGCCTACTGCGGAGGGCTGTGGCTGGCGGCCGTGGCTGTGATGGTCCAGATGGCTGCTCTGTGTGGGGCACAGGAGGCCCGGAATAAGTTTTCTTCCATCCTTAGCCGGGGCCGGGAAGCCTATGATCGGCTGCTGTGGAATGGTGAGTTGGGGGATCCTAAAGAATCGCAAGGCGGCTCTGGGAGGCAGGAGACTCACTTCGTCCTCCTCTCCAGGCCGCTATTACAACTACGACTGCAGCTCGCAGCCTCAGTCCTACAGCATCATGTCTGACCAGTGTGCTGGCCAGTGGTTCCTAAGGGCCAGTGGCCTGGGAGAAGGAGACAGCGAGGTGAGAGACTAGGAGAAGTCCTGGAGAAAGGGTTTCCCTGGGGGTGGAAGCAAGTGGAAAAGACTGTGTTTCTTCCCTGTCCCTCTAGGTGTTCCCTACCCAGCAGGTGGTCCGTGCTCTCCAAACGATCTTCGAGTTCAACGTCCAGGCCTTTGCAGGAGGGGTCATGGGGGCTGTGAATGGCATGCAGCCCCATGGTGTTCCTGACACATCCAGCGTCCAGTCGGATGAAGTCTGGGTGGGCGTGGTCTACGGGCTGGCAGCCACCATGATCCAAGAGGTAACTCACTCCCTTCCCCGGCTCTCTGCCATCTGCACCTTGGCTATCAGGCTTCTGATAACCTAATTCAATGCCATCTTATCCATCCAGAGAGCCTCCCCTTCCTTGGCATGCATTCTATTGCCTGTCTTCAGGCTTCTGCCTGTGAGCCAAAGTTATCTCCCCCACTGGCCAGGAACTCCCTGAGGGCAGAGACCCTATTATCTCCATCTGTCCAGCTGAAATAGCTATTCAAGGGTTGCCAAGTAATGACTTCCCTCTCTCCCTTATAGGGCCTGACTTGGGAGGGCTTCCGGACAGCTGAAGGCTGCTATCGTACTGTGTGGGAGCGCCTGGGCCTGGCCTTCCAGACCCCGGAGGCGTACTGCCAGCGGCGGGTGTTCCGCTCACTGGCCTACATGCGGCCGCTGAGCATCTGGGCCATGCAGCTGGCCCTGCAGCAGCAGCAGCATCAAAAGGCCTCTGGGCCAACATCCAGACGGGGCACAGGACTGTGCACCAGGCCCAAACAGGGACCAAAGGCAGCCACGGCGAAGCCAAGCCCAGAGTGAGCCACGTGAGCTGTGGAAGGGGGCGCTGACAGCCCAGCCTTCAGCCTGACCTTTCTTCTGCACCACCCCACCCCCAGTCTCCTGCAACCCTGAGCCACCGGGACAATCATGCCCTCCCTCCTACCTACCCACCGCGCCAGTAAAGAGGGGTTGAGGGTGAGAATCACTTATTCATGAGAAGCACTTATTTATTTCTTTCTTCACCCCATCCCCTCACTGCATGAAGTGTTTAGGGAGGTCATCTGATTCTCCTAGGCCCTTTCATGGGGTGATAGACATACAGAGGTTCAAATAAAAGACCCAGAAAACCAGTAAGTGTGGTGTGTTTGAGTCCTCAGGCTTCCTGACAGGGCACAGGACCTGAGGCTAGCCCTCTCCCCTTCCCTTTCCTCTGAACACAGACTGGGGGGCACCAGACTCTGACGGAGGGCACCCCCCCCCCCCCACATCCTCACATCTAGCCTGAGTATCTGTCCTGCAAGATAACAGATGTGGGGCTGGGAGTAGGGAGCCATCCTTCCTCTCCTGTGAGATTTGCATGCAGGGGAGATATGGAATCTGGGCAGGAGCACTCTGAGAAACCATCAGGCAGCGGCAATTGCAGGGGAGGCTCTGCTCTAGGAGCCTCAGGCATGAGATGCAAGAGGCAGCAAAAGTTGCTAGGAGCCTGGAGCTCACGGTCCAAGCTGTCCTTTGGTACCTCTAGCTGCAGGGCAGGTGGCTCCAGCTGCAGGGGGTCCTCGCTGCGAAGGGCCCGAAGCTGACGGGACAATACTGAGGAGACAAAGCCTGATCAGGGGCGGCTGGGGCTCTCCCCAGCCCGTCCTCAGTGGCGTCCTCGAGGCCCTCACCTCTGTGCTCAGCCGGCAGGCTCCCCCTTGCGTCCGAGGAGTACATAGCAGGTACGAGGAGGAGACAGAAGGAGAAGAGCAGAACCTGAAGAAACAGGAGGAAAGAGATGAAGAAGGGCTCCGTGTCGCACGCCTCTCCCTGCCAGCTGAGAGGAGAATGTCTCCTTCCGTCACCGTCCTCACCAAGACACATGTGCTGCCGCTGCTGGCCTTGTTTGCTGTCTGAATCACCATGGCCTGCAGTCTCCTCAGCTGATCCAAAAGGGACCTACAAGAGGAGACAGTGAGCACCCCCAGCCTGGCACCTTGCCATACAACAAAACCCTCCTGTTAAGGCCATCCCCTCCATGTGCGCACTGGATCCTCTCTTACTTTCTGCGAGTGATCTCTTTCTGTGAACAAAATACCAGACCTCATTAACACAAACACACACGTCTCTGCCCTGACTTAAAACTCCTTTTGCAAACCCCTTCAGTGGTTCTCCACTGCCTGATCAGCTCTGTACACAAGCCTCACCGGGGATTATATTCTCTGTCTTCTGGCCCAACTCACCTATGTTAGGGTTCCAGCCAGACTGGACTAGAGACTGTGTCCTCTCTGCCTAGAATGCTCCCCACCCCCATCCCAGAATTGTATCTACTATCAAATGCCATCTGCCACATGAGGTCTTACTCCCTCTCTTCCTTCTTGATACTTTATACTTGTGAGCTTCACGGAATCAGAGACCCACTGAAGACCAAGCATCAGACATTATATGTGAGAGATGCCCAGTGAGAAATCAAGTATGGAGCAGGAAAAAGACTGAGGCAGTATGAAGTGGGAGGGATGAGAAAAGCCTGATGTGAAAGAGCTGCTTACAGATTCTGTTCCTCCAGGAGCTGTACTTTGTTCTGTAGCTCCAGATTCTGGGCTGTGTATTTCAGGACCCTGGAGGAATAACAGGGATGTGGGGACATGGCCTGCGTCCTCCCTTCAAAAACCTCACACTTCCAATTACCTGTTTCTCCCGCCCCCGAGTCCAGCTCCCTTTCATACCTGCTTTCTAAACCCCCCACATACACCTTCTTCTTCCTGCGGCTCTCTTGAGCAGACTTTTTGTTTCGAATCTTCCTCCGCACTCGTTTCAGAATTTGTTCCTCCATCTGGGAGAAGACAGGAAAAGGGATCCCATCAGAGGAACATTAGACCAAAGAGTTTGAAGGCAACTGAGTTCAATCTTCTCAAAGCCGAAATTCCCTCTACAATTTCCCTGATCAATAGGCACTCTGAATGCTTCTGAGGACCAGGTGTTAATGCCCTCACAAGCCAAACCATTGTAACAACTTTATTAAACAATAATTTTAAAAAAACTTCCTTATCATGAGCCAACATCTGCCTCTGTTTTTTTCTACCTGTTGGACTTACCTAGCACCTAATCTCTGGGGCCATAAGAGAACAAAGGTCTTCAGCTATTTTAAAGCACTTCAAATTTCTTCAGTGTTTAAAAAACAAACTGGGCAAAAATTTAACTCATCATCTTATCTCTTCTCAGGATGGACTGCATCTTCTTAATATCTGTCAAAGATAATAGGCTCAAAACTTAAGAAGCTTTTTGGCCAATATAAAGGAAAACAAGATGGTTACTGCCCTTCGACTGGCAACACTATTAGATAACCGGTATCTGATGATACAACTGGGCATCCCCAGTGCCTCAGCAGTTAGGAATCTGCCTACAATGTAGGCGACTCAGGAAACACAGGTTCCATCCCTGGATCCGGATGATGCCCTGGAGAAGGAAATTGTGACCTATCCAGTATTCTTATCTGGGAAATCCCATGGACAGAGGAGCCTGGCAGGCTATAGTCCATGGAATTGCAAAGAGTTGGACACGACTTAGTGACCAAATAACAACAACAACAACTAAATCTGATGATACAGCTGCTAAACCCCATTCACTTTCTTAGTGGCCATATCACACTGTTGACTCAACTTGTACTTTTTTTGGCCACGCCTCGCAGCTTGTGGGGTCTCAGCTCCCAGACCAGGGATTGCACCCTGACCCTGAGCAGTGAAAGCACAGAGTCCTAACCACTGGATTGCCAGGGAATTGCCTCACTTATATTTTTAAGAAATTAAAATTCAGTTAACCTTTCTGTTAATGGACATTGATTTCATCATAGTATCACAATACCCTGCATGTGAAGTTGCCACTCATTGCTTGAAACTCCAAATTTTACATTTATTCTTGTTATACTACTTAATCCAGCCTTGATGAACTCTAATACTTAATTTACTATTCAGCTACAGATAAATTATCATGAAACCAGTGAAATATAAGTATCAGAGCCCCGTGCTTGTACAGTACCTTCCAAATCCCTTTACTAATATTACCCTGATAAGTTTGAATTCTTAGTTAAAAAGAACACCAAAATTTATACAAGCCCTACAAACCAGGATCTGTCCTTGCAAGTAGTATACTAACCACATGCTCCAGCTTCCTACTCACAAATGTGCTAATCTCTCACCTCAGTTCCTTTTCAAGCTACAAAATTAACAGAACTGGCCTACTTGGAACTCACAACCCCCGTCCCCACAATGGGAGACTTACCTTAGTGAGCGGAAGCATCCCAGGCAAAGTAAGCCCCTCCTTCTCCAACAGCCTCTTCTCCTCCTCAGTCAGTATCAGCCTAGAAAACTCCTGCGGTTCCGGAGAGGTGGGCAGCAGAGTTGCAAAGAGATTTCAGAAAGTAACGCGGAATACAGCCCCGACCCGCGCAATACGGGAATAACCCTCCTGTAAATCGAGTCAAGTACCTGATTTGCCGGCTCCTCCACAGGCAGTGGAGTCATCTGAGCCCCCTCTTTTCCATAGCTCTCATTATCTGCAAAAGGGAAAATATGAATAGTCAGGCTCCGGAGTCCTCTCCTTTCCCAAACTTCCCTAATTTCAGGCTTACCTAGATCTATGGAGACATGCTCTTGTGAGAGAGAATAGGTGTGGTCATGCTGGACAAGACAGGGATTAGAGCTGCTGAAAACGTGCAACGATGCTGGGGGACTCGGCAGGCAGCTCAGGAAATCCTCCACGTCCCAATCGCTCAGAGACTGCACAGGGTTCAAATTAACAGGCTTTGATCATCACCACCCCCTGCCTCAGGGACACCCCCCCAACCAACCCGCCTCACGCCTCCCCGACTCAGATCTCCCCCACTCACCTCAGAAAGGGGCAGTTCCCAATCCGGCGGAGACGCCAAGGCCTCGTCGGGCGCCGCACCCAAACCACCGCTTTCTTCTAGCAGGAAGCCTAGCAGATCATGGTCACCCGGGTCCAACGCCAGCTCCATATGAGACATTTAAGGAAAAGATGCGCAGAAACACAGGAGTTCACCTCGCCACCCGGGCCCTATACCCAACCAGGCGTAACCGCGACCGCCTGTCAGCCGGCCCCACCTATCGGCTTTCCAGCGGCGTTGTCCTCCTAGCTGCTGGCGACGGCTCTGAAACTGGGACACGCCTCCCAGACTCCGCTCCCCGCTGGACTTCCAACAGAACACTAGTGACGCACCTCCCCGCGAGGCATGCCGGGAGTTGGAGTCCCCCCACCCACCCAGACGCCGGGGCGGCCGCGGTAGGCGCCACGTCCAGGGCGCTATGCAAATGGAGGGGACGTGCCTTCCGCCCCCGCGGGCCCTGAGGGCGGGCCTTTTGAGGAAGCGGCTCCGCCCCGGGCTAGAAAAAGGACCGATTAGCGCCTAAAAGGGAACTAGGGTGCAGTTCGGGCGCTCCCTCGGGACTGCGCCGCACCCTCGCTTCCTGCTGGGGAGGGGCTGCCGGTCGTCGGCGGGTTCCCGAGCATCGAGAGCTGGGGCCAGAGCAGCTTCCTGCAGTGCCCGCGACCATAGAGCGCGGGCCCAGGGCGCCGCCCGCGGGTGGGGGACGTTCCCGGGACGGAAGTGGCCGAGAGTGTCGAAGGGAGGGCGAGGCCGCAGCCCGAGAGCCACCGGGAGAACGAGCGGGTTAGCGGGCCGGCGGGCGGGGCACAGAGCCGGGCAGCGCAGGTAGGCCGGACCGGGCGAACTGGGGCCTCAGGGTGGGGCCGCGACGCCAGGCCTGGGAGGCGGGCGGGCAGGGCCCCTGACCTCGGCGTCTGTTTCGGGTCCTGTTGGAGAGGTCCGCGTCCGGTGTGTCTCGGCTTGTGCTCTTGAGTTAAATAGGCCGTTTTTCGGCAGCCAGGCCCTTCCTGGAGCCGTCCTCGGCCTGGGATAGGTTTGGGGGACGGTGAGGAGTGGGTGGCAGTGTGGCGCAGGGCGGGGATCGGTTTTGAGGTTAGCTGATAGCGGGTACGTGAGTAGAAACGGGTGAGTTGGGGATTAAGTGGAGTTGGGTTTTAGGAGTTAAGGTTAGCTTTAGGAGTGTAAAGCTGGGGTTAAATTTTAGATTTATTAGTGTGAGGTGCGTTTTGTGTAGGTGAAGGTTGGATTAAGGGCTTTACTTTGTTTTCTGTAACCACCAACGTCAGTTAAGAGTTCAGGTTCAGGTTAACGTATGTCAGAGTTCAGGCTAAGGGTCAACGACAGGAACTAGGTTAGAAATCCAGTTTCAGGGATTAGAGAAGGTTAGCATAGCCAGGACAAGGGATAAACAAGAAAGGGGTGAATCAGGAATCAAGTGACAAATGAACTGTAGGTTTAGGGATCAAGATTTAGGGTTAAAGGTCCGGAGTTGGTGCTACAGGTAAAAATTAGATCAAAATTAGGGACCAGGGATTGGATTCATATATGTGGTAGGACAGGGATCCCTGTCAAATCCAGTACTAGGAATCAGGAGACAAATTACAGTCAGCATTACTGTTATAAATTTCAGGCAGTTTTCCCTGTTGTAGTTGAGGTCAGGGTAGTTGACCTCAGGCAGGTGATATTTAAGAGCCTGGCAGTAGGTAGATGCCCTTGTTTTGTGGGGAAGGCTTCTTTGGCCCAGGGAAATGACAAACTAATTTCAGGCTGGGGTTCTGGGCTAGCTGGAATTGCTGGCATCAGGGATTCCAGTTTAATTGTATTCTCTAAGCTTCAGGCTCTTACTGTGACCACCACAGTTGAGGGGGAGGGGTTCTTGGATCCTGTTGTTTACAAGTTAGGAGTTAGAAAAGAGTTAGGGACCCAGGACATGTACAGGGCTTAGTAATAGTGGTGGACTGCCTAGGGGAGAAGGGACTGGTGATTAAGGGGGAGGCAGACCAAGGAAACTGTTCCAGTGCAAGAAGAGGATGGCCTAATTCTCTGAAAGTTCAGCCCTTCTGCCTCCAATGTCCCTCAGTCCCTTGAAATTAAGCCTTCCTCTCCAACTGTCCTCCCTGGCCCTGCATTTCACACCCTCAGGCATACCCACTGACGGAATACTTTCCTTGCCTTTAGCTCTCCCATGCTGTTCATGTTACCTTCTCAGCCTCAGTTCTGCCTCCCTTCCCACCTCTTAATCCACACATCCCACCTTCATCTACCCTCATCCACACCTGAGCTTTCCCATCATTTTAAAGCCCTCTCCCACCATATTCACCCGCTCATTCACCTGCATACCTCCTGGTTATCTGCTAAATACCCCACCACCAGCCCAACACTACTGCCAAGCCCTCACAGTCCCTGCTATATGCCATTCCCTGGTTCTAAGCCTCCTAATAACTTGGTCCAGTTATAGATCCCCTTCCCCCACTCCCCCAACAGAAAAGAGGAAATGAGACCCAAAGAGGAAACTGGGTCTTGCTGATCCCACGCCCAACCAGGCCACTGACCACACCCCCTTTCACTCCCAGCCTGACCCTGCCACTGACCACAACACTGTCCCCTACCCAGCCTGACCCAGTCACTGGCGTCAGCCCATCCCCCTCAACTCCATCTTTACTTAGACACTGCCAGCATCTCTTCCCTGTCCCCCGTCCCACTTATTTAACCTGATTTAGCCACTGACCACACATCTCTTCTCAACCTCCTACAGCCTGACCTGGTCTCTGACCTCATTCCCTTTCTTAGCTTCCATCCACGTAATTATTCTTCCTCTTTCCCCAAGCTGATTCAGTAGCTGATTATATCCATATTTTTCTTAACTGTTATCTTCTCTAGCCTGTCCTTGCATTTTTCTCTTCCCGCATTTCCAGTCTGACAGTAGTCACTAGGCCCATCCTTTCTGCCCCTACCTGACTGCTAACTGCATCCCCTAAGGCAGCCTCATGTTTGCATTCTTACCTCCTCCTGTCCTTTCTTTCCCCGCTCCCCAGTACCTTACCTAAATTCAGGCACTCTTGAGTACCTGCTGACCACTGGAAGCTGTGGGCCTCCAGCCTCACTTGGGGCCCCGGTTCCTGAGTTCAGCCTGTCATCAGATCCTGTTGGTTCTACCTCTTCAGATTTCTGATGAGTGACGTCCTCCTCCCCGCCGTTCTAACCCTGGCCTCATATCCTCCTACTTGTGCCTGTGCGGGGTCTTTATAACCAACCTCCCAGGTAGCTGCCAGAGTGAGCTTCCTGAAGTCAAGTTCTGCTTGTGCCCCTTCTCTGATCGCAGCCTCCCTTGGCCTCCTGTTGCCCTCTGGTGGGTGAAATCCCGCGTCATTCTCCTGAGTCCACGCCTGCCTTTCCATCCTAACCTTGACTTCCCCATCACTGCTCACTTGCAGGTACCCTGTGCTTCAACCAGCCTGCTTCTCACTTCCCTGAATGCTCCTCCGTGATTTCCTGCTTCTCCACCTTTGCTTATGCTATTCTCTCTGCCTGGAATGCCACCCCTGACTCATCTCCGGCTGGCTGGAATAGTGGAGAGAGCTTGGGCTTTGGAGTCAGAAAGACCTGGGTTTGGATCCTGACTTCACAACTTAATAGCTGTGTGACTTTGGACAAGCACCTTGAGCAAGTGTTTAACTTCTCTGAGCCTGAGTTTCCTAATCTGTAAAAATGGAAATAACGACACCTACCTTGCAGGGTTGTTGTAAGGATTAAATGAAATTGTGTGCACAAAGCAATTGACATATCGTCAATAAAAGATAGATCATTGTTTTTTCTTATTATCTTTATTTGTTTAAATCTTGACTTCAAATGACACTTTTCATGGAGACATTTTAGTCCCCTTTCCCTGACCTGAAAGGGATCTCTCCCATGAGCACGTACTGCTTGGTTCTTACCTCATCCTGCCTTCTATTATAACTCTGTATGTAGCTGTCCACTCTGCTGAGGGCAGACGCGAGTGCTTACCCTTCTTGGTTCCCAGCCACTGAGAACCAGGGCCTTCCCCCAGCAGGCCGTCAGAACTGCTCCCTGGAAGACTGGAAGGAGAATGCCCACGAGAGAGACGTTGGGGCTGAGTGTTGTGTGCTTGACGACAGAGGTAGTCTTTATGAGAAGATAACGTTGTTGTGATGGAGCTGTGTAGGGGCTGTGTGCTTGAGATAATGTGTGTGTATGTAGAGACTATAAGTAACTTTGTGGGAAAGAGCTCTGTGCATAGGCTGGGGTGCATTTAGGGAGAATGAACATGCATGGATCAGGATGGAGGTAGGGAAGGGTTGTGCTGGGGAGGTCAGGTCCAGCCCTTCAGCTGCCCAGTCCAGCCCTACGTGAGCCTGCCGCAGCCCGAGGCCGGATGTGTCAGTCTCACCCACAGCCCTCCCCCCCCCCCCCCCCGCGGTTACAGACTCAGAGGCCAAATTTGGTAACAGACTTAAGTGTTACTCCCCCCAACCCTCTTACATTCTGAGTCTGTCTTCAGCTCTCTCTCTCCCTCTGTCCCTCTCTGTAACTCCCTGTCTCTCTGCAGCTCCCTTTGTGGGTATCTGCTCTGACTGTATTCTCTATGTCCCCAAATTCCTTACCCCCAGTACACTTACATTCCATTCCTTGCTGGGATTTGACCTCCGTCCTCTATCCTCCCCCCACCCCCCCAGTTGCCCAACTCCTCTGGAATGCATCTCAGGAATGTCTTGAGGGAGGAGGAGCTCTCTGGGAGGGGGACATGGAGGGGGGAGATTGTTGCTGTTCCATAAAACATGACAGAAAGTAGAAAGGGGAGCAAAGTTCTCCAGCCAGAACAGGAATTGGATAGCTTCTCCCCTTAACTTCCAGGGGCCCGCTTCTGTGCTCTCATTGCCCCGAACTCATTCGATTCCTTTTGCTCCTTCACCCACTTGTAGCTGTGTGGGTGTCCACTCAGGACCAGCCTGAAAGTGAGGGTAGCCATGAGTCAACTCCCTTATCGGGGTCTCACCAGAGGTTTCCGTGCTTCAGGAGGAAGGGGGGTGTCCGTGTGTCCGGAGGAAATGGGGGGAGATGTGCAATTTCAGCTGAGGGTGAAAGGTCTTTTCAGTGTATCCTCCGCTTGACAGACCTTCCAGCCTTCCAGCGACCCAACAGCCAGGTCTGTCCAGCTATCGGGAGAGGTGTGCCAGGGATGGGGAGGGGGGCAGAGACCTAGAACTGGGGAGAGAGGGAGGGTGCCCTCTTGTTGGGAGTAAGGATTGAGGGCGAGCTGTGGTTTCTTCTTTTTGGAGACTTGAGATTATTTATAAGGTCAGAAATTGTCAAACTCCTGATCCAGACCTTGGCCACATCTGCCTCCTGTCTCCTATTTCTACCTAGATTTTCAATCTCTCCTCATCTCTTCACCATCCAAAAACATAGCCCTTCCCAGCTTCCCTGGTTCTCAGTTGCTGCCTTCTATTTCCTACCTTCTTCTTCTAAGACCCCGATCTCCGCTTCCAAGCTTCCCTGTAGCCGTGCTTTCTCCCCCTCGGGGCTGGCAGTTTGCAGAGGGGGGAGTGGGCTGCCTGGACCTGCTCACCTCGCCTAGGTAAGAGGCACCAATCCCTGGACGGAGCTGGCCACATCATCAGCTGCCAGGCAGACTTGTCTGGTGCTCTGTGCACCAGCTGCCACCTCCATGGAGGGTGGAACCTGGAGGGCGGGGGAAGGCTGGGTGGGACTAGTGTCCCCAGCTGTAAGGAAGACTGTCAGGAAAGGCAGCTGAGCTGGAGGGCAGTGTTTGACAAGGACTTACTGAAGAGGACAGAGCATAGGAGGCGTTATGGTGAGAACTGGGTGTTAACCTGCTGTCTTAGAAGGAGCAAGGCCTGAGGAGTTAAGAGGGACTGGGCTCTCTCTCTGAGCTGCCTTGAAACACACATATCCAGTCTGATTCCCCTTCTGCAAAATTAAAGAGTTGACTAGATCACTTTTGAGATCCCTTTGGATTAGAAAAACCATGATTCTGGCTTGACTGCTGGGGGAGCCAAATGTGGACCAAGCTGCTCCGGGAGGCCCCCAGCATGTCAAGTTACTGGGGAGCTGAGACGCGTGAGCCAGGATGGCTTAACAGCAGTGTTGGGCCTCCCTGCCAGACCAGCTCAAGTCAGTGTTTGCAGGGCTCAAGAGCCCTTGGGGATTATCTAATATAACGTCTTCATTCTGCAGAGAAAGAGACTAAAGCTGTGAGAGGAAGGATCACGTGATGAGTCAGGGCAGCGCTCTGGAAATCCCAGATAGGGAGAAGCCAGGAGGATATAGTAAGAGACAAAGAAAAAGACTGAACCAGGAAGGGTGAAAATAGGGCAGAGACAGGACTGGGAAAGGAGGTGAGCAGGGACGAGGGTAAGAGAGAAACACTTGGAAGAAAGAAGGGAGGCCCAGATTCCAGTGCTGGGGGTGGGGTGGTGTCCTCGGGTGACACTGTTTCAGACCTGCCCTTGGGCCTTGCAGACCAGCCTCTCCTTCAGAGATCTCAGACACCTGAGACTAGTCCTTTTGATACCGCTCCTCTTTTACTCTTTAATATCATTAAATAAAACAGAAACATGCTCACTGTTTTCTGCTTTGCTGACTCCCTTTCCTGGGTCTCCATGTGGGGGGCTCCTCTCCTCCAACGAGGGTGTGTTCTGATGCCCTGATGCCGTGGGCCAGGTATAGCCAGGCTGGAGAGAAGAAGCCGCCACCATGGTTGCACTTTCGCTGAAGATCAGCATTGGGAATGTGGTGAAGACGATGCAATTCGAGCCGTCTACCATGGTGTATGACGCCTGTCGGATCATCCGCGAGCGGATCCCAGAGGCCCTGTCTGGCCCTCGTGAGTCTGACTGCCCGGGTGGCTGGGACGGGAGCCCTTGGTCCCTTCTCGTTCCCAGGCTCTTGGCCTTGGGAGATGACTCTGTTGTGCCCCAAGTCTTCTCATCTCTCAGGTCTGTGTTCCTTGGCCCCTGCCCTCCTCTTTAGGCCCGGGATCAGTGGGAAAATAATAAGGGGTCGTGGTGTAGCCATTCAACCACACTGGGGTTTTTATAAGGCTAAGCTGACCCATCTTCTCTTTTAGCCAGCGACTTTGGGCTGTTTCTGTCAGATGATGACCCCAAAAAGGGCATATGGCTGGAGGCCGGGAAAGCTTTGGATTACTACATGCTGCGAAATGGGGTGAGTGTCCCTTCACAGGGACCACCAGTATCCTCTGCCATCGCTTCCCGCCTTCTGCCTCCTACTCAGCACCCATATCTGTTGTCTTCGAGCTCTCCGATGCTTTCTAATACAGGCAGTCATAATACCCTGTTTTCAAGCAGGCCACCACAGCCTTCCTTTTAGTCATCTGCTTTCCTCCCCTCCCTGGCTGCCTAAAGGAAAGTAGTATCTTCAGCCTAAAGCGGCCCCCCCGGCCCACAGGACACCATGGAATACAGGAAGAAGCAGAGGCCACTGAAGGTCCGCATGCTGGACGGCACCGTGAAGACCGTCATGGTGGACGACTCGAAGGCCGTCACCGACATGCTCATGACCATCTGCGCCCGCATCGGTGAGGGGCGCGCGGGGCGGGGGCTCGCAGGGAGGCCTCGGGACTGCCGGGGCTGCGGCCAACCCGCCCCCTCCCCCAGGCATCACCAACCACGACGAGTATTCGCTGGTCCGAGAGGGCATGGAAGAGAAGAAGGAGGAGGTGACGGGGACCTTACGGAAGGACAAGACCCTGCTGCGAGATGAGAAGAAGATGGAGAAGCTGAAGCAGAAGTTGCACACGGATGACGAGCGTGAGCAAGGGGCCTGGCGGGGGCGTCCGAGACCGCGGGGGCGGGGGGCGCCCCTTCTGCGTTACTCTCTGAGTTTTCTTTTGCAAGGCACTGCTTACACACTGGGGCTGCATCTGTGCTAAAACCAAGTCCTGCACTCATGGAACAGAACGTATTAGTGGGAGAGGGTGGGACATGAAGAGACAAAAAACGAAAGGCTGACGGCGTAAGGGCTGCAGGGACCGGGCACTGAGGGGGCCCTCTGTGTCCCAGTGAACTGGCTGGACCACGGCCGGACCCTGAGGGAGCAGGGGGTGGAGGAGCACGAGACGCTTCTGCTCCGGAGGAAGTTCTTCTACTCAGACCAGAACGTGGACTCCCGCGACCCCGTCCAGCTGAACCTTCTCTACGTGCAGGTGGGGGGGCCCGGTGGTGGGCGGCAGGGAGAGAGGCAGGGGCGTGGCGGGGCGCCCCCGGTCCCCACACGGCCTTTGTCTCCTTCCTCTGTGCTCCTCAGGCACGAGACGACATCCTGAACGGCTCCCACCCCGTCTCCTTCGACAAGGCCTGTGAGTTCGCTGGCTTCCAGTGCCAGATCCAGTTCGGGCCCCACAATGAGCAGAAGCACAAGGCCGGCTTCCTCGAGTGAGTGGCCCTCACCCCTTACCTGTCAGGGCCCAGGACTCCCTGCCACTGCGGCCCCAGCCTAGTGCGCCTGCCCCCATCCCAGGCCTTCTCCTCTGCTTCTCTTCTGAGTCCCCAGGGCCTGACCCCCATGGGGGCCTTTGCAGCCTCCGTCCTCCACGTGTCTCTTCCCATGTGGAATGCGAAAGTAGTCCAGACTCTGTCCCTGCCCCCTACCTCTGATGCAAGCATGTCACTTTTTTGAGAGTCTCTGAAGAATTGTGCTGCCATAGCCAGAGGCAAACAGGGTACATTTTTGTCACAGGGAACGTGAGATTTAAGAAGTCTCGTAGGTCTCATTCACTGGTATTTCTCAGCTTCCTACAAGCATGGTCATCCTTCTAGTGAGCCGCTTCTGCTCTTATTTCCCTAAAATTGTGATCTAGTCTTTCTTTTCCCCAAGAAATGAGCCTCCAACTCAAGTTTCCTCAGTCTTTCTCTCTGTGGAGAGAGAGTCAGGCTGCATTCAAGAGTTAGTACTAAGTCACTTCAATTTCAGGGACAGTCTAGACTCTCATGCTGTGAATCTTCCTCCTCCCAAAGATCACCCTCTCCCAGATACCCCCTCACCCCCAGGCCACAGCCCATGGCCCACCTGGCCCCGAGGCGTCCTCCACGCGCTGACCCTCCCTTTTCCGGTATAGCCTGAAGGACTTCCTGCCCAAGGAGTACGTGAAGCAGAAGGGGGAGCGTAAGATCTTCCAGGTGAATGGGGCAAAGGACGTGTTTGGGATGACCTGGGAGCTTTGCTGCCTAATCCTACTGACTGAATGGACCGCCGCCTCTTCACCCCTGCCCCGCTTCCACCCTCCAAGCTGTTCTCCTACCTCTCTCGCGCCAGGAAAGCAAAAGACCTGGGCTTCTCGTCTGTGCTGCGTCACTGCATCTGCTGTGGAGCTCAGTTCAATAATCTTGTTTTCTTTCCTTTCCCTCTAACATGGGGTAACTATCTTCCCTGAATAGGACTGATAAGGAAGCACTGTGAAGAGCAGATCTTTGTACAGACAGAAGGTGTTATTTCAGTTCTTTGAATCCTCAGCCCAAAAGGCCTTCTGTTTGACCTTCTACTTCCTAACTATCCCTTCACATCTATAGAACATCTGCAAGTCCCCTAACTGTATCCTTCGCTTCTTGAACCATTGCTTCTGCATATTCTCTTGTCAGCCCATCCCGTCACCTTCTCATTTCTCATAGCCTGCCTCCCCTAACCTTTTCTGTGTTCCCATAATACTCTCCTACCATAGTCCACATCCCAACTTAACTTCTAGTCTGCTGTGTCATCTTACTCAGATTTTGCTAAAAGTTTCCCCATTTTATACTCGAAGGCACACAAGAACTGTGGACAGATGAGCGAGATTGAGGCCAAGGTACGGTATGTGAAGCTGGCCCGTTCCCTCAAGACATACGGCGTCTCCTTCTTCCTGGTCAAGGTGGGTTACTGACCCTTCTCCCTGCCCCCCCTTACCTCTGCTCTTACCCTTTCCTCTCTGAGTCTCTAGCCCTGCCCTGAGTCACATTTTCTGCCAGTCCCCAAGAGTTTCATTTTGTCCCTTGTGAAGACTTGCCCCCTTGTCAGCACTCCCCGCCGGCCCTGCGTTTTTCCTCCCTTTCCTTTTATCCTAGTGTAGCCTTGTCCAGGTCCATCCGTAGACACCCCAGTTATGTCTCCTGCCTCCATCAGCACCCCTTTGTGCTCTGGATCTGACCCCCTGACTAATAGCGTCCATGACCTCTGCCTCACAGGAAAAGATGAAAGGAAAGAACAAGTTGGTGCCCAGGCTTCTGGGCATCACCAAGGAGTGTGTGATGCGGGTGGATGAGAAGACCAAGGAGGTGATCCAGGAATGGAACCTCACCAACATCAAACGCTGGGCTGCGTCTCCCAAGAGCTTCACCCTGGTGAGCTGGGGCCTTGGGGGACAGAGGGCTGTGTAGTTCCCAGAGAAGGGGCAGCCACGGAGGTCTCCCCAGCCACTCTGTGCAGGGCTAGGTACCCTGAAAGTGATTCCAGAAAAATGGAGAACTTTGGAGCTATTGTAGGAACTTGGAGTTTAGGATAGAGAAGAAACTCTGCCCTGGAGAATGAGAGAAGCTAAAATGAAACATTTTTAAAAATCAGCAGAACCAAACTGTAACCAGCAAGCTGAGATCACAGGCCACTTGGAGTGAGGGAAGAAGAAGATGATAGAAAAATAAGCCTCCCTCCTTTCAGCAGCAACTCCTTACAGTAGCCCGGCCTCCAGCTTCCTATTTCAGCTTTACGAATTGAAGACTGATCCCACCTTGAGGAAGTGCCCCACTGAGGAGGGAAATTAGTCGAGGCGATTTTTCCATTTTGGATATTAGTGCTGATCCTTCACTCTGGTCATTTAATGATGAATGTGTCCTCCCAATTTTATCATCAGGGTGACAGAAGAGAGATTTCCTAAATGCCATGTATTTGAAACTGTGTAGGGTAAAGGATATACTCCTTAGAAATAAAGTATTTCCCTCCAAGGGAAATAGAGATCTCGGAGACTGAAGAAGGGCTGTTGTCCCAGAGGCTGCTCGCACGGGAGGGCAGCCTCAACAGCTCGGCCCTAGGCTCTTGCCCCACCCGTTCCTGTCCCGGGTTAACTCAGGCCTCCCCACTGAGCCCCGCCCCCATTGCCCCCCTAGGATTTCGGGGACTACCAAGATGGCTACTACTCGGTGCAGACGACCGAGGGGGAGCAGATCGCTCAGCTCATCGCTGGCTACATTGACATCATCCTGAAGAAGGTGAGCACTGCCTCCCGCACCCCCGCCGCCTCCATCTCTTACTATACCTTGCCCCCACGCAAGGTCCTCTAGAAACTGGGACCCAGGCTCTGGAAGATGGCTGACTGGGGAAAGAAGAGGCTGCCTTTTCCACTTCCCTCTTCTTTGATACTTATTCCTTTTTTCTCCTACAGAAAAAAAGCAAGGATCACTTTGGGCTTGAGGGAGACGAGGAGTCTACTATGCTGGAGGACTCGGTGTCCCCCAAAAAGTACGAAGGGAGCTGGGCTGACCCCATTCCTCGGGCAGGGAAGGCAAGGCATGACCCCCAGGACTGGGGGGTGGGGGCCCTTAGGCTGGCTCTCTAAGTCTCAGGCTGCGATGAGGCCTCACATCCCCGGAGCACAGGACAGGCGGGCAGGGGGTGAGCGGAGGAGGCCCTCGGAGCGCCCCCTGAACGCCTCCTCTTCAGGTCCACCGTGCTTCAGCAGCAGTACAACCGGGTGGGGAAGGTGGAGCATGGCTCTGTGGCCCTGCCCGCCATCATGCGCTCCGGAGCCTCGGGTCCCGAAAATTTCCAGGTGGGCAGCATGCCACCTGCCCAGCAGCAGATTACCAGTGGCCAGATGCACCGGGGACACATGCCTCCTTTGGTACGAGCGCCCCCACTGCGGCCGTGATTCCGGGCGGACCCTCCTCTGCTGGGCTGAGCTGGGAGCTGGGCGGTCTTTTCCTGTGTCCCCATGAGTGTTCCTCTCCTTGGCCTCAGGCTCTCCTTTGTCTTCTCTCTCTAAAGGTTCCCTGTTACTCTTCTTGTCTTACAGACATCAGCCCAGCAGGCACTCACTGGGACCATCAACTCCAGCATGCAGGCCGTGCAGGCTGCCCAGGCCACCCTGGATGACTTCGACACTCTGCCCCCTCTGGGCCAGGACGCTGTGAGTGTGGGACAGAGGAGGGCCAGTGGTGCTGAAGCTGGAACTCCAGGGACCAGGGTTGGGGTTGACTGGAGCAGAGCCAATCCTGAGGTTGGTTTCTCTTCCCCTCAGGCCTCAAAGGCCTGGCGTAAGAACAAGATGGATGAATCCAAGCATGAAATCCACTCCCAGGTAGACGCCATCACCGCTGGTACTGCCTCTGTGGTGAACCTGACCGCAGGTAGGCTGGATGCTGAACTCTCTGGGTAACGGGGGTGGGAGGGCAAGTGTGTACAGGCGGGAGTGTGACTGGCTCGGATGTGACTGCACCTTGACTCATGGAAGGGACTGTGTGTGCGCGTCTCCTTCAGTGTGGGGGTTGGGCGGTGAGTGGTGGTGTCTGTGTGTCTGTGACTAACTGCCTGTGACTGATCTCATCTTCCTCCTCCCCCAAGGGGACCCTGCTGAGACAGACTACACGGCAGTGGGCTGTGCGGTCACCACCATCTCCTCCAACCTGACGGAGATGTCCCGTGGCGTGAAGCTGCTTGCCGCCCTGCTGGAGGATGAGGGTGGCAGCGGCCGGCCCCTGCTGCAGGCGGCCAAGGGCCTGGCGGGGGCGGTGTCAGAGCTGCTACGCAGTGCCCAGCCGGCCAGTGCCGAGGTCAGGGGCCAGGGCTCGGCCCAAGGGAGAGGAGAGGCGGTGGAGATGGGGAGCCATGGGCTTGTAGGACCCGTGGACATCTTGGCAGAGACGGGGCAGCTTCTGACTGGTGTTCACTCTCCACAGCCCCGTCAGAACCTGCTGCAAGCAGCTGGGAACGTGGGCCAGGCCAGTGGGGAGCTGTTGCAACAAATTGGGGAAAGTGATACTGATCCCCACTTCCAGGTTGGTGACTCACCCATCCCCCAGAACCCCAGCTTCTAGGAGGTGACCTCTGATCCTGAATCCAGCTCTAGCCCAGCTGCTGTAAATTGACCCCTCAGAGCCAACCTGAACCTCTTTCCAGGAATCACATTGGAAGCCCCCCAGTCTGTTTCTGGGGGGCTAAGAATTCAGAACCCCTGAATCCCAACTTAACCTATTAGTTCACCCTTGGCCCTTATTGGAGATAGTTTTTTTGGCCACTGTCATCTTTCCCAGGCTTCCCCATATGTAGGCCTCACCCCAACTCGAGGGCCTCTTGACCCCCCTTCTAGTCCTTTAACCACATACCCAGAGGATGCGCCCCCCTCCCACCCCATGCCCGTTTCCTCAGCTGACTTGTCATCCTGGATTTCCCATGCAGATCTGTGCACCCAGCGGGGCTGGGTTTCCATCTCCCCCCGGTCCCCCTACGGTAACGGCCTCTGGCCTGGGCCTTCCCAGCTCTGTCCTCTCTGAGCCGCATACACTCGCTCTGCCCCCTGCCCTGGCCTCCGGGGAGCAGAGCGCGACGGGAGCTGGGGAGGCGTGGCTCAGGCAGGACCCCAGAGGGTCGGACGGGGACTTGTTCCCGAGACGCCAGGGTGACTGCATCCAACCAAAGACAAGGGAGGAATAGAGAAAGAATGCTGGGGCCGGGGGAACCCCCCCCCCCACCATCCTGTCGTAACAGCACCGCCTGCCTCCCTCCCCATCGCCGTCCGAGTGTATCCGCCCCCCTTCGGTGTACCGCTCCTCTGGGTGTGGGCTTGTTCCTTGGTGGGGGTCTGTCTTACTTGGTGCTCGAAGCAGGGGCTTGGGTAGGTTCTGGTTGCTTCTGCACACAGTCCTGTGATTGGAGGCAGGGGGACTAATGAAACAGCTTACGCCTCTGAGAAGGGCCCTTGGACCCCAAGCTGGGTCTCGGGCCCTGCTGACCACTGGTTTCTCACAGGACGTGCTCATGCAGCTGGCCAAGGCCGTGGCAAGCGCCGCAGCTGCCCTGGTCCTCAAGGCCAAGAGTGTGGCCCAGCGAACGGAGGACTCAGGGCTTCAGACCCAGGTCATTGCCGCGGCGACACAGTGTGCCCTGTCCACCTCCCAACTGGTGGCCTGTACCAAGGTGAGCCCCGAAGGTGCGCCAGCCCACGCCAAGAGGTAATGCTTCCACGCACCCTGGAGCCTCTCATCCAGCCTCTCTGGCCCCCGAGGCCTCATTGCCCAACCTAGTCACTGTTGTGAACACCACAGAGCCACAGATACCACACCTCACGACTGCTCTCCCTCGCCCACGTCTCTGACGCTCACTTTGCCCGCAGGTGGTGGCTCCAACTATCAGCTCCCCAGTCTGCCAAGAGCAGCTGGTGGAGGCCGGGCGACTAGTGGCCAAGGCTGTGGAGGGCTGTGTGTCCGCCTCCCAGGCCGCCACAGAGGATGCACAGCTGCTGCGGGGGGTAGGTGCGGCGGCCACAGCTGTCACCCAGGCCCTGAACGAGCTGCTGCAGCACGTGAGGGCCCATGCCACAGGGGCTGGGCCTGCTGGCCGCTACGACCAGGCCACTGACACCATCCTCACTGTCACCGAGAACATCTTCAGCTCCATGGGTGACGCTGGTAAGGACAGCCCCCTGGGGAGACGGAGAACCGCGATGAGGCTCTCTGAGCCTGCTGCACTCTTCCTCGCAGACTGCCACCAGCCCCTGAGGGCTCAGCCCAGGGCTGGGCGTCCAGTCTCTGAAGGCTGCAGTTCCCCGTTTGTTAGGCAGGGGTAGAAGCACTGCCCTGCCTTCCTTGGTGCAGTGAAAGAGCATACCAAAGTATCCACAAAAATAGATGGAAAGTGGCAGTATTAAGAGATAGCTGTCCCGCCTCCACTCCCTCACTCCCAAAATCCTTCACAATGAGCCTTATCCGCTTAAGACTGCGGAAAATACCCATTGGAGATTGTTTTCCCCATTGTCACCCCACCCCCATCACCCCTGCCCCCATTAAAACCCACCAAGAGACCTCTCCTTTTCCAAGATCCTGAACCCAGAAAACAGTAACTCCAGGGAAATCAATTCAAGATTGTCTGCATCTCTTTCCCCACCCTGACACCCTCTCAGCGTCTCTGGCTCTGTTTGCTGACTGTACCTATGTTCTCAGGTGAGATGGTACGACAGGCCCGCATCCTTGCCCAAGCCACCTCTGACCTGGTGAATGCCATCAAGGCTGATGCCGAGGGGGAGAGTGATCTGGAGAATTCCCGCAAGCTGTTAAGTGCCGCCAAGATCCTGGCTGATGCCACAGCCAAGATGGTGGAGGCTGCCAAGGTGGGGAGCCTTCTGTGCAGACCGCCAGACTGGGCCCTGTGGGAAGTAGAAGGGTCCAGATAATCACCCTCATTTATGGGAGCAACTTGGGAAAAGCAGAAGATACAAGAGAACAAATACAGGAGCACTGAGGAAGTAGACACGCCTCTCGGCGGTGAGCGGATGGCGCCAGGCTTTCAGCCAGTGTGACCTGCAGAGTCCTTGCTGACACTCAGACTGTGCCCCTCTGTCCAGGGCCTGGGGTTCCAGCTGTTCCCTCCTGTGCGGCCACCGCTTGCCTGCTCCCTGAATGCTTGCACACGGCATTCAGGCCCAGGGATCCATTGCTAGCAGCACAGAGAAGGAGCAGGCAGTGGGACACAGGAACACCAGGTGTAGAAGACAGCAGGAAGAAGCCAGAAGATTCTTGGGTCCCTGGACACTGGACTCTTCACTTTGCAGAGTAACCAGGGCCCCTGCTCTGGTGTTCTGAGATCCCTGCTCTAAACCGTGTCCTCCTTGTCCCCAAGAGCCCTGCTCACTCCCCTGTGCTGGTGGCATTTTGTGGGGAGTGGGGAAGAACTATGGCCACTTGCCCGGGGGGAAGCAGAAACAGTCCTGCCTAAGGAAGGGCTTTCAGCATCCCAGAAGGAAGCCAGGGCCCAGACGACTCCCCATTTGCCCACCTGAGGGAGCTTGTCTCAACCATGATTACCTTTCAGTGGGGGTGGTTAGAAGTGACTTCAGGAAAAACAGTGTGAGCATGGAGATGTCAAAGAAGCGCTTACTTAGGATCCACGGGGATCCTGGGTGGTCACTGTCTCTCTCGCCACCTCTCAGGGAGCAGCCGCCAATCCAGACAGTGAGGAGCAGCAGCAGCGGCTGCGGGAGGCAGCGGAGGGTCTCCGCATGGCAACCAACGCCGCTGCACAGAACGCCATCAAGAAGAAGCTGGTGCAGCGCCTTGAGGTGAGGCTGGGGAGTAGCACGTGTTGGTGCTCTGGGAGGAATGAAATCAGGAGGCGTGTGCGGGGACGAGCCTGGCATCCTCGGTGCCAGCGGTTATCATTTCCTCAGGACCAGCAGGGGCAGGGTAAGCAAGGGACGGGGAACGGGAGCGTCTGAGCCCTGTCCTTGCTGTTCTGCCCTTAAAGCACGCGGCCAAGCAGGCTGCAGCCTCGGCCACACAGACCATCGCCGCAGCCCAGCATGCAACCTCCACCCCCAAGGCCTCTGCCGGCCCCCAGCCCCTGCTGGTGCAGAGCTGCAAGGTGAGACGCCGGGAAGCACATGGGGGCCGGAGGCGGCACGGGAGGCGGGGACTTCCCCCAGCCTGTGGGGCGGTGGTGCTTATGACATTGTCACCCACAGGCTGTGGCAGAGCAGATTCCACTGCTGGTGCAGGGCGTCCGCGGGAGCCAGGCGCAGCCTGACAGCCCCAGTGCTCAGCTAGCCCTCATCGCCGCCAGCCAAAGCTTCCTGCAGGCAAGGCCTCCTCGTTGACCACTCAGACCACACCCTTCCCACTCTGCTCAGGGCCTATGGATCTCGTCAGTGGTCTCTCTCGCTGTACCGAACCCCAGTGCTCAGCACATCCTGACCCTCGCCCATCCTGTACCCATGCCCAGAGGGCATATGGCATGCTTCACGTGCCCCCCTGTCCCCCAACAGCCAGGCGGGAAGATGGTGGCAGCCGCGAAGGCCTCCGTGCCAACGATTCAGGACCAGGCGTCGGCCATGCAGCTGAGTCAGTGTGCCAAAAACCTTGGCACCGCGTTGGCTGAGCTCCGTACTGCTGCCCAGAAGGTATGGGAGCTGGCTGTCCTTTTGGAAGATGAAGGGCGTGTCCTGGGATGATGGAGAACCTGTTCAGGCTATCCTCAGATGGATAACTAACCTGAGGCATGAGTGAGACCCTGTGTGCCTCCTACCCCTCGAACTCTTCCCCCCTCACCCCGTGTGTTTGTAGGCTCAGGAAGCATGTGGGCCTTTGGAAATGGATTCTGCTCTGAGTGTGGTGCAGAATCTGGAGAGAGATCTGCAGGAAGTGAAGGCAGCTGCTCGAGACGGCAAGCTGAAGCCCTTGCCTGGGGAGACGGTAAGTGTTTGTGAGATCTGAAGTCTCCTTCTCACCTGGGCCCCAGAGCTGCCCTGAACCTTTGTTGAAACTGCCTGCTGACTCTCAGTAGCTTCTCAAGCTCTCTCTTCCCCATTCCTCCTGTGGCTGAGTCCCTGAGTCTCCCTGTCATCCCTAGATGGAGAAATGTGCCCAGGACCTGGGCAACAGCACCAAAGCTGTGAGCTCCGCCATCGCCCAGCTGCTGGGGGAGGTCGCCCAGGGCAATGAGAATTACGCAGGTACACGAGAAGGGCCAGGATGGGGCCTGTGGGGGCAGGCAGGGGAGTGGGAGCTGCAGGAGGGGTGGGGTGACACAGGAAGCCCCCAGCATCAGGGCTCGGCAGTAAAGATGCCTTTTCCCTCCTTTCTCTCTCATCGTCTCCACAGGCATTGCAGCTCGGGATGTGGCAGGTGGGCTGCGGTCACTGGCCCAAGCTGCTAGAGGGGTAGCTGCCCTGACATCAGATCCTGCGGTGCAGGCCATTGTGCTCGACACAGCCAGCGATGTCCTGGACAAGGCCAGCAGCCTCATTGAGGAGGCGAAGAAAGCAGCCGGCCATCCAGGGGACCCTGAGAGCCAGCAGCGGCTTGCCCAGGTTTGGTTTTGGGCCGGGGCTGCTTCCTCCCTCTACCCCGACCCCCTCAGAAGGCTGCCTCGAGGGAGCGTCTCATCAGCGTTGTGGCTCCTGTCTGGATTTCACCCTTCCTTCTCAGTCTGAGTAGAAGAGTCTCAGCAAAAGCGAGACCTGCTCCTAGCCAAACACCGCATTTGGGGAAGTTTGATACCCTAACTTGATACTCTCGCCTGTTCAGCTACAGCACCCCCTTTCCGCTTTCACTTTCAGAGGCTCCCATGGGTGGGGGCGGGGATCTCCCAGTTGTTTCTGCTTTGGCCACCCTGTCTCCTTTCCCACCTCAGGTGGCTAAAGCTGTGACCCAGGCGCTGAACCGCTGCGTCAGCTGCCTGCCTGGCCAGCGAGATGTGGACAATGCCCTGAGGGCAGTGGGGGATGCCAGCAAGCGGCTCCTGAGCGACTCGGTAGGAGGGCAGGGGTGTGAGGGCGGCATGGGGACAGAGGGCTCCAAGCATCTACTCCGTCACCCTAGCTCCCCGATGCACCCCTCCCCTCACCGCTCCCCCAGGCCTGTGCCCGCCTCCCCGAGCTCCTCCACCAGGCTCCCCCACACGTCACCTCCCGTCCTTGCTCCTGACTCTCTCTCTGATCCTGCAGCTGCCCCCCAGCACTGGGACCTTTCAGGAGGCTCAGAGCCGGCTGAATGAAGCCGCTGCCGGGCTGAATCAGGCAGCCACAGAGCTGGTGCAGGCCTCTCGGGGAACCCCTCAGGACCTGGCCCGAGCCTCAGGTCGATTTGGACAGGACTTCAGCACCTTCCTGGAAGCCGGCGTGGAGATGGCAGGCCAGGCTCCGGTATGAAGGGGCACTGGGTCCGGTTCAAGGATCAGAGGCATCTCAGTGACCACGGAGTCCTGACCTGCTCCTGGCCCCCTCCGCTCCCCAGTCTCTAGCAGTACTTGGGTGTCTGGGATAGAGGATCCCTTTTAGAGACAGACAAGAAAAGACTGAACAATGCATTGACCTTCTTGCCCTCAACAGAGCCAGGAGGATCGTGCCCAGGTCGTGTCCAACTTGAAGGGTATCTCCATGTCTTCAAGCAAACTTCTTCTCGCTGCCAAGGCCCTGTCCACAGACCCTGCAGCCCCAACCCTCAAGAGTCAGCTGGCTGCAGCTGCCCGGTAAGTGGGAGCTGGGAAACCAAGCCCTTGCATGTTAAGCAGACTGGGGAGGGGACATTTCGTAAGAAGTGTCTGGCTCAGGAATTGTTCCAGACAAAAAAGAAATGGCTAGAGACTTACTCCCTACGTGAGCAGGATGCAGAAGTGATGACCTATGCACTCATTCATTCGACTTCCCGTTCCTCCCAGGGCAGTGACCGACAGCATCAACCAGCTCATCACCATGTGCACCCAGCAGGCGCCAGGCCAGAAAGAGTGTGACAATGCCCTGCGGGAATTGGAGGTGGGCCTTAGCAGGCTAAATGGGGTTGAGGTTGAGGAAAGGGTTCTTGGCTAAGGCCAGTGAGGGGGCGTCTTGGATCTCACTTCACCACCAACTGCCTCCCCTTCCCCGACCCGACAGACGGTCCGGGAACTCCTAGAGAACCCAGTCCAACCCATCAATGACATGTCCTACTTTGGCTGTCTGGACAGCGTCATGGAAAACTCAAAGGTAGGTATACCCAGTCCCCTCCCAAGGAGGGCAGAGGGTAGGAAGATAAGCCAGCCAGGGGCTGCCCTCTCCCTCTGAGGACAAGATCTGATTCTCCCAATAACCTCTGTCCCCCAGGTGCTGGGTGAGGCCATGACCGGCATCTCCCAAAATGCCAAGAACGGAAACCTGCCGGAGTTTGGGGAGGCTGTCGCCACAGCCTCCAAGGCCCTCTGCGGCTTCACTGAGGCAGCTGCGCAGGTTATTCTCCGGGGATGGTCCCTGGGACTGCCCTGTTGTCCCTACCCCACCTCCTCGCAGCCTGACACACACGCACAGAAGACAAAGTTATGCTTGCAAAGCCAGCTGTGTGGAAAATGGGGATCTTCCCCCACCCAAAGTAGAGGTGTTTGTCAGCAAGCATAGAACAGCAACAGTTCTGATCACTGTCACCGCTGAGCCCTGGGGCTTTCAGTTGTGATTACACTGTCCAACCACTGAATCTAGCCCCAGCTTTTTCGGTATATTCTGACTAGCATATGCAAGTTATTTTCATATAATTAGTACTTTTTTTTTTTTGCTGAGCCACACGGCATGCTGACTTAGTTTCCCAATCAGGGATCAAACTGGTGCATCCTGCAGTGGAAGTGCAAAGTCTCAACCACTGGGCCACCAGGGAAGTCTGCACGTAGTTACACTGTTAGAATAGTACCAGAGGCTAAATTCCCTGTTATTGAGTCACCACCTAACTTTGCCTTTTTCTACATTATGAAGTATAACATGATCCACTGGCTCAGAGTATTTTGCTCTTGTATGTGAATCCTGAAAACAGACTGACTTGAGAGCTCATCCTCTCAGCCTCTTCCCTTCAATCTCCCTACCTCCCTGTGCCCTGTTCTGTTGGGTGGCCTGCTCTATATGGTTTGACGCATTTCTGGAAAAGCATGAAGAAGAAAATGCAAAGCTACCATGTGTTGGGTGAAGTAAGAACGATGATCTTCCCAACAGAAACCGTTTTTGGCAACCATCCCTTCCCTCTTTCCAAATCTCTGAAGCTTAGAGGTATTATGTGTTAATTAGCCTAACACCACCCACAGTTTTATTAGAACTATCTCTAAAAGAGGCTTTGTGTGTGTGTGTGAGTGTGTCTTTCAAACTTCTTTTACCGACATTTAAAATAAGCACTATTTTTTACCTTAAGACGCAACATACAAACACATAAACATGTGAACTGAATTTTGATAAAAACCTTACTGTGCTTCTTCCTTTTTTTTTTTTCTTTCCATTTTTTAATCTTCTGAAATGTTTGAACACATTTAACAAAACAGGAGAGGTTTTTCCCTCTTTTGTAGTATAATCACAGCTTGCTAATGTATCTCCACTCACGTAGAGCCCCGGCCACTGAACCTACCCCTGCTCCCCTTTGTCCCCACATGGCTATTCCATTCCTCCCTCAGGAATGTTCCTTATTCCTCACCCCGCTCTTCTCTCCCTCCAGGCTGCATATCTGGTTGGTGTGTCTGACCCCAATAGCCAAGCTGGACAACAGGGGCTGGTGGAGCCCACACAGTTTGCCCGAGCAAACCAGGCGATTCAGATGGCCTGTCAGAGTCTGGGGGAGCCTGGCTGTACCCAGGCCCAGGTAACCTGGGGGTGCAGTCACTGTGAGCAAGCCTGGGAAAGACTGCTGAGCCAGGACACACCGCCCCCAAGGTGGGAGGAGATGCAGGGGATGGAGGAGATGTGGGGAGGGAGGGTGGAGCCCCAGCGCTGACCTTCCCATAGCTTCTCTGGGTCATTGTCTTCTCTAGCTGTGTTTCTCATCGTTCCTGCCATTACTGCCAAGCTCACCACTTCTCTATGGAGGTTTGAGTTCACTCTCCTCCTGAGCCTGTTAACGATTTCTCCAGTAGTGTGTCGACTTTTCATTTTCCTTTCTCCTATACCCTGCACATCTTTGGGTATCTGTCTCCCAGATCTTGACTTTCTGGTGACACTGTCTTTCCTAAGGAGACTTCCGAAGGGATGCTGTCCATCCCGCAGCTGGAGGGGCTGCTCCCCGGTGTAGACACCGCCCCCTGCCCTCACATGGCTCTCGCACATCTCTCTCTCAGGTGCTCTCCGCAGCCACCATTGTGGCCAAACACACGTCTGCACTGTGTAACAGCTGCCGCCTAGCTTCTGCCCGAACCGCCAACCCCACCGCCAAGCGCCAGTTTGTACAGTCAGCCAAGGAGGTGGCCAACAGCACGGCCAATCTTGTCAAGACCATCAAGGTTCCCAGCGTTTGAATTCTCAACCTCTCCCTGACTGTCCAGTCTTCCCCCCAACCCCTGCACCCTGTCACCCCAAGGCCTTCACCCAGTCCCCCCTGCCTGAGCCCAAGGTCTTTCCCGTCCCCACTGGTCACCACCAGCCCCGCCCCGTGCCCTCTGAGCTCAGGAGGGAGACCTGGGCCTCGCCACCTTTGTCTATAGCACTCCCTGAGCTCCCCCTTGTCACCCCGCCCCAGGCGCTGGACGGGGCCTTCACGGAGGAGAACCGCGCCCAGTGCCGAGCGGCCACAGCCCCTTTGCTGGAGGCCGTGGACAATCTGAGTGCCTTTGCATCCAACCCTGAGTTTTCCAGTGTTCCTGCCCAGATCAGCCCTGAGGTGAGGCAGGGTGCACGCATGGACTGCCGGCCACCTCTTCTTTCCAGGAGTCTTGAGACCCACCCCTCTGCCTCCCCCTCCCCAGGGCCGGGCTGCCATGGAGCCCATTGTGATCTCTGCCAAGACAATGTTGGAGAGTGCGGGGGGCCTCATTCAGACGGCCCGAGCCCTGGCCGTCAATCCGCGGGACCCACCACGCTGGTCCGTGCTGGCTGGCCACTCCCGTACTGTCTCGGACTCCATCAAGAAGCTGATTACAAGCATGAGGTAGGGGGCAGGGTGGGAAACCTTGTCCTGGGGGATGCACATCTCTCTGACAGAACAGTGGGATGGGCACTGTGGTGTGGTGAGATGGGCCAGTTTTGGAGGGCATCTGTGGCCCAAGATTCGGGGGTGCAGGGAAAAGTGGGCCAGCCTTGTGCGCAAGAGGCGCACTTGGTGTTGGAGTCTGTGATGCGTCTGCAGGGACAAGGCCCCAGGGCAGTTGGAGTGCGAGACGGCCATCGCAGCCCTGAACAGCTGTCTGCGGGACCTTGACCAGGCTTCTCTCGCTGCGGTCAGCCAGCAGCTCGCTCCCCGCGAGGGGATCTCTCAGGAGGTAAGGGGGGGGGCAGGCTTAAGGAAGGTGGGGGGTCTGGGAGTGAGCTCATAGGCACATGGAGGGTATGGAACGTGCTGGATACTGGGTCGGTTGGGTGTGGAGGGAAGAGCGGGGTCCTGTGCGGGTCACAGTCAGGGCTAACTAAAGTCCACTTCCTCCCCAGGCCTTGCACACCCAGATGCTCACTGCGGTGCAGGAAATCTCCCATCTGATTGAGCCGCTGGCCAGCGCTGCCCGGGCTGAAGCCTCCCAGCTGGGTCACAAGGTGCCTGGGGAGCCACGTGGGCTTGGGTAGGCTGAACCCGGTCCCTGGCCGGGCTGACTCCCATCCCCACCCCTTGCCGCAGGTGTCCCAGATGGCCCAGTACTTTGAGCCGCTCACTCTGGCCGCCGTGGGTGCTGCCTCCAAAACCCTGAGCCACCCACAGCAGATGGCGCTCCTGGACCAGACCAAAACCTTGGCCGAGTCTGCCCTGCAGCTGCTGTACACAGCCAAGGAAGCCGGCGGTAACCCCAAGGTACTGAGCTGAGGGGCCGCTGCTATAGGAGGAGAAGCAGGAACCACTTCTCCCTGCCCCACCTCACTCACTCTGCCCCACAGCAAGCAGCTCACACCCAGGAAGCCCTGGAGGAGGCTGTGCAGATGATGACAGAGGCCGTGGAGGACCTGACAACCACCCTCAACGAGGCGGCCAGTGCTGCCGGGGTCGTCGGGGGCATGGTGGACTCCATCACCCAGGCCATCAACCAGGTTGGAGCCTTGGGGAGCCTGTAGACAGAGGTGCCTGTGGACGGAGGTGCCTGTGGACCATTGTCCCTGAGCCCACCGTCTTTCCCCTCCGCCATTCTCCCCCTCAGCTAGATGAAGGACCAATGGGTGAACCAGAGGGTTCCTTCGTGGATTACCAGACCACCATGGTGCGGACAGCCAAGGCCATTGCTGTCACTGTCCAGGAGATGGTGAGTCTGGGAGAGTGTAAGAGGCCTGCTCTGGGAGAGTTTGGACATCGAGTTTGGACATCAATTCATGTCTTCCTGTCACCAGGTAACCAAGTCAAACACGAGCCCTGAGGAGCTGGGCCCTCTCGCTAACCAGCTGACCAGTGACTATGGCCGTCTGGCCTCCCAGGCCAAGCCTGCAGCTGTGGCTGCTGAAAATGAAGAGGTAACTTCCCCCTGCCCCTACACTGGGTGTAGGCCCCAGTGACGCCTACACCAGGGCGTGCCCCTTGTCCCGTGATGTCAGCCTCTGGGAGTGTCCCACCCTCGGCCACTCGGGTCTTTCATAGGAAGGGGGACTCAGCCTCAGGGCTGCTCCATGAAAGAGTGATCAGGGCTCCATAAAGGGTGGGATCAAAGCCTCCGTCACAGGGATAAGGAGTAGCCCAGGATCTAGAGATTGCCTGGGCTACCACTGTTTCCCCTGCTGGCCCTGATTGCCTGTGGCTGCTTCTCAGCTCTGCTGCAAGCCTTTGATCCCTCCCTCGTTCTTCCATGTTGCAAAGCCCTGAAGCGCTTCCTTCCCTAAGCTCCTGGCTTTCCAAGAAAGCAAGTAATTGGATCTTAGCATGACACACCTAATCCCCAACCCAAACCCCTCCACAACCACACAAGCCAACCCGTAAGCCGTGGCCTCTGCTTCAGATACCCCAGCATGAGGGCTTCTCCCGCTCCTGCTCGCTGCGCTGGTTAGCACGGTCCTCACAGCTGGTGCCCACAGGCTAGTATTTCCCGTGTGTGGGAGGAGACCTCCTGACTCACGGCTGTGGAGCAGGCAAGTCCGTGCAGGACACTCGCACGCCCGCTTTGGTCCTCTGCGTGTTTTAGGTCCTTAGTGCCGCCTCCGAGTATAGCGGACATCCCCGAATCCCCTCGTAAAACGCACCTCCTGTTTGATCTACTCGCAGATCGGCGCCCACATCAAGCACCGGGTTCAGGAGCTGGGGCACGGCTGCGCCGCCCTGGTCACCAAGGCAGGCGCCCTGCAGTGCAGCCCCAGTGACGCCTACACCAAGAAGGAGCTCATAGAGTGTGCCCGGAGAGTCTCTGAGAAGGTGACCGAGCCCGTCCCCACGGCCTGGGGGCTGCACTCCCCAGCCCTTTCCTCTGTCCCATCCCCCTGACCCGGGGCCTGTCCTCTCACGGGGCCCCTACCATGGTCACCACGTGACTCGCCTCCCGCAGGTCTCCCATGTGCTGGCTGCGCTCCAGGCTGGGAATCGTGGCACCCAGGCCTGCATCACAGCCGCCAGCGCTGTGTCCGGCATCATCGCCGACCTGGACACCACCATCATGTTCGCCACTGCCGGCACACTCAACCGTGAGGGTGCCGAAACCTTCGCTGACCACCGGTGAGGCGGGAACTGGGCCTTGTGCAGTGGGGGCCAGAGGGCTTGGGGGAGGCCTGAGAAGGGCTGACTGGGCTGGGCCGTCCCCCAGGGAGGGCATCCTGAAGACCGCCAAGGTGCTGGTGGAAGACACCAAGGTCCTGGTGCAGAACGCAGCTGGGAGCCAGGAGAAGTTGGCACAGGCAGCCCAGTCCTCCGTGGCCACCATCACCCGCCTCGCTGATGTGGTCAAGCTGGGTGCAGCCAGCCTGGGAGCTGAGGACCCAGAGACCCAGGTATCCGCCCCACACGCCTCACTCTGGCAGAACCACTTCCTGTTCCCGTTTCCGCCCACAGACCAGAGCCTCTGCTCTCGCCCACAGGTGGTGCTGATCAATGCCGTGAAAGATGTGGCCAAGGCGCTGGGAGACCTCATCAGTGCCACCAAGGCCGCGGCTGGCAAGGTCGGCGACGACCCTGCCGTGTGGCAGCTCAAGAGCTCTGCCAAGGTGGGAGGAAAGGAGAGCAGCTGCCGGGGGGCGGGGGGTGGGGGGGCGCGGGCCAGAGTGCTTCTGCCTGTCCCTTCAAACGGGGCTGCCCTCCCTCGTCTGGTGCCCGCAGGTGATGGTGACCAACGTGACGTCCCTGCTCAAGACCGTGAAAGCTGTGGAGGACGAGGCCACCAAGGGCACCCGCGCCCTGGAGGCCACCACGGAGCACATCCGGCAGGAGCTGGCGGTGAGCGCGCGTCTGGTGTAGCAGGGCTGGGGCTGGAGAGCGGCGTCTGGGGAGACCGAACACGCGCCGCCCACACACTCATACTCGGTCTCCTCCCCGCCGCCAGACTCCTGTGCGTGCTGCGTTGAGTCTCCCCTTGCTCACCTGTTTCCTCCTGGGCATGTGACACCTACCCTCTTCGTCACCCCCCACTTTCTCTGGCCTCTCAGTTGCCACATTCAGGGGTCACTCCCTAGCCTTCATCTTCTTCAGCATCTTCTTCATTTCCAAAACAGTGGACCCCCTAACAAACAAGCCTCCCTTTGGAAGCCTTTCTTCCTTTGGAAGCCTTTCTTCCTTTGGTCTTTGTGACACTGGCTTTTCTGTTGCCGCCCACATCTCTGTAGTTGCACTCACCTTCAACCAGGTAAATCTTAGAGACCTTCCCAGAACTGCACCGATCGCCTCTTACTCCTCTTTGGCCGATTCAACCCTCTCATCATTGTTCTCTGACAAGTAGACTTCCAGTTCTGAGTCAGTCATTTTCAGCCTCCCGTTGGACCTTAGCACCAAGATGCGGTGCCTCCCCACCAGCTTCTCCCTGACGCGCTGCTTCCCACTAAGCATGGTCACAGCCTCCCGGTCCAGAAGGCCCCCTCCCAGGCCCCTTTGGCTTCACTGCCTCACGCACAGCCCACAGGCAGCGCGCCCCTCACTGTGACCACTCTGCCAGGCTTCTGCCCGGCCTCCTTGCTTCAGGCTTTGTCACTTTCATCTTTTTTTTTAACTTTTTGGCTGTGCTGGGTCTTCTTTGCTGCACGTGGGCTTTCTCTAGCTATGGCGAGCCGGGGCTGCTCTTCCCCGCGGCGCACAGGCTTCTCGTTGCAGTGGCTTCTCTTGTGGAGCACGGGCTCTGGGCACATGGGCTTCAGTTGTGCTCAGGAGTTGTGTGCACAGGTTTAGTTCCTCCACCGAATGCGGGATCTTCCCAGACCAGGGATCCAACCCATGTTCCACTGGCAGGCAGATTCTTAACCACTGGACCACTAGGGCAGTCCCCACCTTTCTAACTTCTAAATTTGTCTTTCTCATCTTCTGTTTTCACTTCTCCTCAGAGATGTTCAAATTGAAATTCCTTTCTACTTCCCAAACCTGATCATTCAGCCCCTCCTCTTTCCCATATCACTAAACAGCACCTTTCAGTAACTCAGGTCCTAAAGCCAGAAACTCCGTTTTAACATCTTTCTCTCATTGTTCCCCACATCTGAGCTCATCAGCAGTTCTTTTAGTGGTCCCTCCAAGTAGACCTCATTTTCTCATTTCCCATCTCTGCTACCAACACCTTGTCCAAACCATCATCAGGCCTTAGCTGTGTTTATGTGACAGTATCTATGTAAACTCCCTGCTTCTCCACTCACCTCCCCCTCCCCAGTCAATCCTCTCTACACAGAGGATAGTGTTTTTGGGTGGGGGGTGCTTGTGGGATCTTAGCTCCTCAACCAGGGATTGAACCCAGGGCCATGGCAGTGAAAGTGCTGGGTCCTAACCACTGGACCACCAGGGAATTCCCAGAATAATCTCTTAAAAATATAAATCAGGTTATGTCACTTCGGTGCTTACGACCCTCCTGTGACTGCCCTGGCATCTGTGGTAAAGTCCGCTCTCCTTACCAGGGCCTTCCAGGCTCCAGGGCTCCTGCTGCCTTCCCCAGTCTCTCCTCACCCTTCTCTCCTCCTGGCCAGGGCCCAGGCCCCTGCATTCTCAGCTCCGCCCACTGCAGACCCTTGTTCTTGCTCTTGCTCTTTACTAGTTTTTTGAACATCCAGCCCCTTCTGATCCTTCAGGCTTCAGCTTAAACATCCTGTCCGCCAGAGGCTTCCTTGACCACCTTTCTGAAAAAGAACTTCCTTTTTCTTTCTCATCACAGCACCCTCTTTTTTTTCCCCCTTCACAGTGTAGTTTCCCTGCTCATTCACCTACTTATCATTTGTACCAAAACCAGAATGTAAGGTCCGTGAGAACAAGGACCTTGTCCACCTTGTCCCCCACTGCACCCCCAGCACCTCACGTAGTCTCCCGCATAGCTGATCTTCAGTGGGATTGAATTTGTTGGGTGAACACATACAGCGCAATATTTTCATGACTTTTTACATACTGTGTAAAATTCTAAGTTCCTTGTTCTGATATCCAAGATCCCAACAGCCTTTGCTCTGCCATCCCTGTACTAGAACATTTCTTAATCCTCGCTCACACTTGACATTCTGGTTATTTGTGCTCTGCCACTTACGTCAGAGCACTCCTGTTATCTGTATTCCTGAGACCCAGCTCCTTACCCACCTTCGCCACTCACCACGTTAAGACTTCTCTTTAGGAATGAAAAGCCAGTGCAAAGGTACTTCTTTAATTTCAAACAAATACACTTTCCCTGATCACTTTAGTCAGAAGTGAGGACCAGCTGCCTTCTATTGTATTAGCTGTGAATGTGTGAAAGTCTCCAAGCGCTGACCTACAATAACTCCTCAGTGGCTCCTTGTTGACGGAATACGCCGATGAATGAACCAGTCACACAAGTGCTGCATCATCTCACAGCCTCACTCACTGTGGAGTTTTTCTTCTTGTTCTACCCCAACAGGTCTTCTGCTCCCCAGAGCCACCTGCCAAGACCTCTACTCCTGAAGATTTCATCCGCATGACCAAGGGTATCACCATGGCAACCGCCAAGGCCGTTGCCGCTGGGAACTCCTGTCGCCAGGAGGATGTCATTGCTACAGCCAATCTGAGTCGCCGTGCTATTGCAGATATGCTCCGGGCTTGCAAGGTAGAAATCCCGGCGGTGAGGCAGAAGTGTGAGGCAGCTTGAGGGCAGCACAGTAGGGGAGAACCTGCAGGGACTTGGGAGCTCTCTGGGATCCGAAGGCTAACATATACTCTGTGCTACAGGAAGCCGCCTACCACCCGGAAGTGGCTCCAGACGTGCGGCTCCGAGCCCTGCACTTTGGCCGGGAATGTGCCAACGGCTACCTGGAGCTGCTGGACCATGTGCTGCTGGTAAGGCGGAGGGGTCTGCTCCTCACGGCGGCCCCCCTGAACACACAGGCCTCAGGCCCTGCATGCTAACCTTCGGTGTCTGCTCCTCACGGCGGCCCCCCTGAACACACAGGCCTCAGGCCCTGCACGCTAACCTTCGGTGTCTGCTCCTCACAGCGGCCTCCCTGAATGCACAGGCCTCAGGCCCTGCACTCTAACCTTCGGTTCAGATCTCCTCCTCACGGCGGCCTCCCTGAACACACAGGCCTCAGGCCCTGCACACTAACCTTCGGTTCACATCTCCTCCCCGCCCCACCATCTGTTCCGAGTCTGTCCTTGTCTCCACGTCTCCCTTCCGCTGGGGCTCCATCGGTCTTAGCATCATTGGTTCTCCCACTCACCTCCTCCTCTCTTCTTGTCTCCTCTCTTCCCGCCCGACCACCCCCCCTCTACCTCATCATCTCTTCTTTCTCCTCCTTTCATCCTCCTGGCTCCTTGTCAGCCGGTGAGTGGCGCACAGCCGCACTGTCTTCACCATGCATGCAGTGTGGTGTCTGGCGTGCACCTGGATAGGCTGTGTGCTGTCCCAGGCTGTGGTGTGGAGCGGCCTAGGGTGGGGTGGCGGGAGGGGGCGGGCCGGCCCTGTCTCAGGGGTCAAGGTAGAAGCTGAGATCCGCTGCTCTCTGCCCCTGCCCCATCCCCCCCAGACGCTGCAGAAGCCAAGCCCGGAGCTGAAGCAGCAGTAGCGGCCTAGGGTGGGGGTGGCGGGAGGGGGCGGGTCGGCCCTGTCTCAGGGGTCAAGGTAGAAGCTGAGATCCGCTGCTCTCTGCCCCATCTCCCCAGACCCTGCAGAAGCCAAGCCCGGAGCTGAAGCAGCAGTAGCGGCCTAGGGTGGGGTGGCGGGAGGGGGCGGGTCGGCCCTGTCTCAGGGGCCAAGGTAGAAGCTGAGATCCGCTGCTCTCTGCCCCTGCCCCATCCCCCCCAGACGCTGCAGAAGCCAAGCCCGGAGCTGAAGCAGCAGTAGCGGCCTAGGGTGGGGGTGGCGGGAGGGGGCGGGTCGGCCCTGTCTCAGGGGTCAAGGTAGAAGCTGAGATCCGCTGCTCTCTGCCCCATCTCCCCAGACCCTGCAGAAGCCAAGCCCGGAGCTGAAGCAGCAGTAGCGGCCTAGGGTGGGGTGGCGGGAGGGGGCGGGTCGGCCCTGTCTCAGGGGCCAAGGTAGAAGCTGAGATCCGCTGCTCTCTGCCCCATCTCCCCCAGACGCTGCAGAAGCCAAGCCCGGAGCTGAAGCAGCAGTTGGCGGGGCACTCCAAGCGCGTGGCTGGATCAGTCACTGAGCTCATCCAGGCTGCGGAGGCCATGAAGGGTGAGGGGCGCCCAGGGGCAGGCAGGGAAGGGAGACCCTTGTTCAGGGAGAGCTCTGCTTCCGGGAGGCTGCTCAGAGGTGGCCTCCACAGAGTCCTCACAGATGCAGGGCCTGGGGACGGTAAGCACGCTGCCCGCCGCTCCTGATCTCCCTGCTCTGCCTCAGCCCCTCCCCTCCTCGCTTCGTCCACCAGGAACAGAATGGGTGGACCCAGAGGACCCCACAGTTATTGCTGAGAACGAACTCCTGGGAGCCGCGGCTGCCATTGAGGCTGCGGCCAAGAAGCTGGAGCAGCTGAAGCCCCGGGCCAAACCCAAGGTCAGCCCTGCTCCCTTCTCCTCCCCTCTGCTCAGAATGTCTGCTCCCTCGGCCTCCTCTTGCTCTGCGTCTCTCTCCGCCACTTCTGTCTCTTTGCAGGAGGCAGACGAGTCCTTGAACTTTGAGGAGCAGATACTGGAAGCTGCCAAGTCCATCGCAGCAGCCACCAGCGCCCTGGTGAAGGCTGCCTCAGCTGCCCAGAGGGAACTGGTGGCCCAGGGGAAGGTAAGGACTTGGATACCAGCAACTTTGCCTTCCACATGGCATGGTGGTCTCCTCCGGGAGGCTCTCAGGAGGGCACACGTCTGAGCGGACGCCTGCTCTCCTCCGCAGGTGGGCGCCATTCCAGCTAACGCACTGGATGACGGACAGTGGTCCCAGGGCCTCATCTCTGCTGTGAGTGCACAACTCCCCGTGTGCCCCTCTGCACTTCAGGGACTTGAGAGGCTGGAGAGGGGATGGGTCAGGGCTGGAGGCACGTTCTAACCTGATCTCCCTGCCTCAGGCCCGGATGGTGGCCGCGGCCACCAACAACCTGTGTGAGGCAGCCAATGCAGCTGTCCAAGGCCACGCCAGCCAGGAGAAGCTCATCTCATCGGCCAAGCAGGTCGCCGCCTCCACAGCCCAGCTCCTCGTGGCCTGCAAGGTCAAGGCCGACCAGGACTCTGAGGCAATGAAGCGGCTTCAGGTGAGGCCCCCGGCCCATCTCTTGTGCCGTGAGCTGCGCTGCTTTCAGCTGTCACCCTCAGCGTGCTTTCTGCGAGGGAGATGAGGGCCTTGCTCATCGGGGACCTTCCCAAGTTCTCACCTCACACTGCCTGCTCGCTCTCTCTGCCCAGGCTGCCGGCAATGCAGTGAAGCGAGCCTCAGACAACCTGGTGAAGGCAGCCCAGAAGGCAGCAGCCTTCGAAGAACAGGAGAATGAGACCGTGGTGGTGAAGGAGAAGATGGTCGGGGGCATTGCCCAGGTAAGCTCTGAGGGACGTCAGCGGGGCAGTTGCGATGCCTGCCCTGGTTCCCACTCCCCCAGACCCTGAGGCACATACTCACTGACCGAGTCCCTCATCTCTGTCCCTCAGATCATTGCCGCCCAGGAAGAGATGCTCCGGAAGGAACGGGAGCTGGAGGAGGCACGGAAGAAGCTGGCGCAGATCCGGCAGCAGCAGTACAAGTTCCTACCTTCAGAGCTGCGAGACGAGCACTAGGACAGCCGCTTGTGCGCGTCACAGACCCAGCCCAGAGACTGCGCCTCACTACCAAAGCCTCCGGGGCTGCCGGCCCAACCCCAGCACCCCCAAGTGCCTGCCAAGCCCCGGGCCTGGCCCCGCCCAGTCCCGCCGCACGCTCCCTGGCCCTTCCTGGACTCCAAGTGCCTTCAAGCCCTAGGGCCCCCTAAGTGCCTGCCCCTCCCCAGAGTATTAACGTTCCCAGAGTATTATTAACGCTGCTGTACCTCAGTCTGAACCTGCCAGGGCCCCAGCCCACTCCACCCTGCCAGCAGCTTCCAGCCAGTCCCCGCAGCCTCCGCTCTACTCATCCCTTTTTATACTATCCGCCCCCCACCCCCAACTACCTGTGGGGGCCGGGGGTGTAAGCCCCAAACAGGTCATGCTCCAATAAAGGTGATTCTGCCTGCAGCCTCGGCCTGGCTTCATGAGGAGGCACCCGCCCCGAGGGCAGGCGGGGAGAGAATGGGGTGGAGTGCTGTGGCCCCGAGGCCCCTTGCTCCCACTCCACACAGAGCCCTAGAGCCCTCCTGGTCAGGAAGCTGGCCCTGCGCGCTCAGGCTCCCGGTGTCCCTTGCCTCCGGCCACGCCCACGCCACACCGAGTGCCACTTTTCTCTTCCTGGGCTAGCAGCTGCCAGTGCTCCCCGTGGCTACCAAGGACACTGTTCTTCACCAGCGCTCACATGAACAAATCTAGTCCCTCACCAAGTTTGAATTTTCAAGAAGCGGCTTTGCTGAAAACAAGCTTACGGATACAAGTGTCTGAGCCTAAGAGAACTATGACCAGATTTGGCTGATGCAGTTAACAGGCCAAAATTCCAACCTAAGGCCGCCTCGGGGAGGCTCAATGTTGACCGGGTTGGGCGCTTCCAGCCCCTCCCAGGCCTTGCTGCCACTCCTGCCCAGAACAGAACCAGAAGAAAAGGAACTGAAAAAGCCAGACGCAAGCGTGAGGCCGCATCGTCGGGCCAGAGCTCCCCTAATGGCCAGGCAGGTGCTGGGAGCCCCGTGCCAGCTGCCCTGCTCACCTGGAGGTTGAGTGGGCGAGGTGGGGGGTGCCGTGTGCTTCCACTGCCCCCCACATCTGCCCACGTTGCCCACGCTGCCTGGACCACCTGGCAGCCCTCTCAGCTCTGCCCGTTTCCACATATGGTTCTCCAGCCAGCCCTATTGCTCAGTATGTTCCTTCCCTGCCTCTCCCTCCAAGTAGAACACAGACACCACCCCATCTGCTGCTACTCTTGTCACCTCTTATCACCTCCTTAAAGGCATGACATCTTCTACTCCTACCCCATTAGCGTAGGTTTAAAGTAGAAAGACTTTGTCCTCCCCAGGGCAGCCCACAAGGGGAGGGGCCAGCTTCCTCCTATCACTCGTGTCACCTGTGATTCATTCATTCAATATTTACTAAGCCAGGCCCAGGCTAAGCACTGGAAAACAGAGATGTATTATCACCTCTCTGACGCAGACTGGCAACTGCAGTCCGTGTGGCTGTGGCCCCCTAACCCCAGATTCAATGTCCTGGTATCGTTGAGGACCTTAGAGATCAAATCCCTTTTACCACTTCCCCAACAAGTGGTAGTCCAGACCTTTGAACTCCTCCAGCTAAGAGCCCAGACAGCTGCTGACTCCCGCTACCACTTCCCTGCCATATCCTCAGGAACTGTGACCAATCACGTTCCTCTTGATACTGATGCCTCAGGGAGCCTTCTGGGGAGAGACCCAAATACCTATTAGACCAGCAGTTCTTACGATGCGGTTGACCCTCGGGCCTCTAGGGGTGCCCAGGATCCTTTCAGGGGTCCTTACGGCGGCTTCCCCGGTGGCTCAGTGGTGGAGTGTGCCGGCCAATGCAGATGACACAGGCTCGACCCCTGGTCAGGGAAGACCGCAGACACTAAAGAGCACCTAAGCCCTGCGCCACGGCTGTTAAGCCTGTACCCTGGAGTCCACGAGCCACAGCCACAGCCCACACGCCGCAAGTAATGAAGCCCACGCACCCTAGAGCCCGCGCTCCACAAGAGAAGCTGCTGCGATGAGCAGCCCAGACACTGCGGAAGAGTGGCCCTCGCTCGCTGCGACCCAAGAAAAGCCACGCAGCAGTGAGGACCCAGCACAGCCAAAAATAAGCAGAAAAAGGGTGACTTTCATAGTCATACTAAGACATTGTTTTCCTTTTTCAGAGTGTCAGCGTTTGCACTGACAGTGTAAGAACATTTGGTGGCTGAGCTGCCTTAGTACAAACCAAGGCAGTAGCCCAAACTACTGCAGTCACTGCACTCTTCACCGCCATGCACTGACAATGTAAGACATAAATGCTGGCTTCTCACTGGAGAATGTCCTTGAGGAAGCAGCAAAAATTACTCATTTTGTGAAATCTTAGTCCTGCAGGAACAAGTGTTTCACTGTTCCATGTGATCAACTGGGGAGCATGTGTAGAACTTCTCTGGTGCACACCAAAGTAGGATGGTGTCTCAAGGAAAGCACCTAGACAGTTCTTTGAACTGAACTAGCTGCTTTTTTCATAGACCACATTTACCTGCAGGAATGACTGACAGACTTGGGTAGCTGGCAGATTCTTCTCAAAAACAGAACTTGTCACTTCAAGGAAAAACCTGCCAGTACTTGTTGCCAATGATACAGTTCAAAGTTTCAAGTGAAAACTAAAATTTTAGAAAACTTGTATCTGCCACCATGAGTTTACGGCTTCCCCAAACTTAAAACAAGCTTTTCTGTTGAAACCATCAGGACTTTTAAAATAATATATAATGAAATGTGTTGACATTTGGAACACCTGCATAGCTCAGTGAATCATTTTCCAAATGACCAATGCATACATGCTGTTACAAAATTATCCCTGAGTAAAAAAAAATGATCCAACCAAAGTCAATACAGACCAATGGATTTTAATGAAACATTGTACAGGAAGGTTATTGATATGGTCAGGTTCTTCACTGCAGCTAACCGTTAAGAAACAGTCAAGTGTTGATGCAGTATCAAAGAAGAATATCCACAATTGCCCAAAAATGTTACACATGCCATTGACACTTGAACAGCATGGGTTGTTCCGTTTATATGGGGATCAATAGATATTTACAGTACTACATGATCAGTGGTTAGTTGAATCCAGGGATACAGAATCATGTATATGGAGGAAGCAAGCAAATAGAGGATTAAGTTTTGGATTTGCAACTCCACAGACCCTGTCACGTTCAAGGGTCAGTGAATTCTATTCTCTCTTCCAACTACGTATCTGTGTGAGTACTTTATCTTCATAAAGAGTACTTCAAACAACCAACACGTAGCAACAGATAGAAAGCACAAGTAGATTTTGAGAATCCAGCTGTCTATTAAGCCAGATATTAAGGAGATTTGCAAAAGTGTAAAACAACTGCCATGTTCTAATTTGGGGATGTGAATATAGTTATTTTTCATTAAAAGTATGTTAACACAGTAATGGGTAATGGGTTTGTTTTGTTTTTAATGAATTAATAAACACTGAATTTTTTGTTTGTTTTAATATGATAAGTATTGATAGATATAACCTACTCCAACAAAAGCTTTTTGAATCGTCAAACCCCACTCTCAATTTTTAAGTGTATAGGAAAAAAAAAAAGAGTGTATAGGGTTCTAAAATGAAAAGTTTTGAGAATTGCCCCACTAGACCATGAGTCATCCACAAAGTATCTTCATGTATTCTGAACCTGGTGCACAAAAAGTTCACCTGGCAAATGTTATCAAGTGCCAACTCTATGCCTGATGCTATGCTACAGTGGGGATTCAGAACTGAACAGAGTCCCTTCCCTGGAGGGTCACAGACAGGTGGAGAAGCAAACAGGGACGAGAACAGTGTAAGATGGACTGTGATGAGAATGTTAGTTAGGAGCCTGCAGGAAAAACAGGTGCCTCTGAGGTAGAGAGGGTGGGAGGCAGGAGTGGATAGAGAAGCCTTCTTAGAAAAGCTGACACCCTGGCCTGTCTTTACAGCCACCAGCAATCAGCCAAGGGAAGGGAGGGGGAACAGGATGCATGAAAGGTGGCAGCTTTAAGAAAAGTCTGGTGATGTCCTGCTCCAGCACTGACCTCAGTATGAGTGCTACACAAGGACAAGTCTGCTCACTGGGGGTGAGTCTGGAAGTGAAAGAAGGTAGGTTAGAGCTGAAGCAGGCAGGAGCCAAAACAAAGGGCCTTGTATACCATATTAAGAGATGTGGATTCTTAACATCAAAGGAGGGAGGGCCAGGGGAGGCACTGGCAAGGATTTTAGGGTCCCACGCATCAACTTTTATTTTTTTCGCATCATCTTTAAAAAAGATTTTTCTGTAACAATGTCAGGAGAGTTGGGGAACCAGGAGCAAGACCACAACAGACTCCGACAGGAGGTAGTACAAGGAGCGGCCCTAGGCAACCCCAGAGAAGTCTGAGGAAGTCTTCCTCATCTGGAGGAAGAACCTACAGGATTAAGGGGATGTGGGGAGTGAGGGACAGAGGAGCTCTTAATGACTCCCAAGGGTTTGACCCTGGCTACAGGGTGGCTAGAAGCAACTTTTTTAAGAGTTTGGGGGAAACGGAGTCAGTTTAGTCCATATGCAGCTGCAGCAGCGGCCTAAGCGGATCTATACATTTCCCCGCCCCCTACCTCCCCGCCCTGACCTCGCCCAAGCCGGGGACCCAGGGTTCCCACGGCTTCCACCCCACCAGCAAAAGCCAGGCCTCCCACCCGCCTGCCCCAGGGGAACAAGGCTTCCTCCGCCTGGTCTCCCCTTCCCCCCTACAAGGCAGCTCTCCACTTCCTCTCCACCCCCCCCCCCCGACCCCGAGGAAAAAATGAAAACAAAAACAAACAGCTTCACGCCCGTGCCCCAGATTTCCCGACCCTGGCCCCGGCTCCCAGAGCTGTTTGTGGCGCCCGCGGTCAAGGGGGACAACCTCCCCCCACCCTCGGCTCCGGACGCCCAGCAGCTCAGAACTCTTACCCTTGCCCCTGCCTTCCTCGCCCCAGCCTGGCCCCGCCTCCCCACGGGAAACATCCCAAAAAAGGGCAGAAAAGAAATTTCGGCGTAAAGTTGGCTCACAAGGGAAGAGAGGAGAGTCCGCCGGGAGAAGGGGAGGAGAAGGGAGGGCGCCCGGGGAAGCTAGGGGAAAGCGGGGGTGGGTGGAGGTGAGTGGAGGGCGGTGGGGCGCGGGGAGTCCCGAGGAGGGACGCGTCCCGGGTGGAGGTGGGGATGGGGGTAGGGAGCGCGCCGCGTCCTGCCTGGCAGAAGCCACGTGGAAAATATGCGGGGCACGTGGGGGGCGGGGCGGGCGGCGCGGAGCTGGGATCCGAGGCTGGTCGACAGTAGAGCGGGGAGGGGGGGGCGGGTAGGGGCTGGAAGCGGGGAGCGAGGGGAAGAGAGGTCAGGGCCCCCTCGGGGCCAGCGAACCCGGCCTCGATCTGCACTGCAACCGGGTTTCTGGGCTCCCCTCCTGCCTCAGTTCCCCCAGGTCCCTGGTGAGACTCATCGCTGTCACTGCCGGGTCGGTAGCGCGAGGCCAGAGTCTGGAACTCAGGGTAAACTGAGGCACTAAAGCGTCAGAGGAGCCCCGCCTCCCAAGAGACATTTAATCCGAAGGGATTTACAGGAAACTTCTAAATTAAGGGCAGCGGCTGCTGCAGTTGAGGGGGGGACACTCTGCACTCGTCCCCGTGCCCGGGCAGCTGCCGTGAGCTCAAGCCCCGAAATAGCCCCAGGGGCCCCGCCGCAGCTGCCGCGGCGCCGCGCTGTCACTCAGAAGCGCGGAGCCCCCAGCCCCGGGGTCCCCTCCGCTCCGCCGCGCCAGTTTTTTCAGCGGACTATCCCTCTCTTTCCCTTCCGACGGCTGCGGGCCGGGTGGAGGTGGGAAGGAGAGGGGTGGGAAAGAGGCGAGAGGCGAGAGGCGGGGCCCCGAGGGGGCGGTCCCCAGGGGGTGGGCGCAGGGGGTGGCCGCGCCCCCCGACCCTGCAGTGCTTCTGCCCCTACAAGGTTTGGGACGCAGTGGGGGAGGGTCTTGGCCCCCGGCTCCGCCCGGTCCCTCCCCGCCTTTTAGGCGCCCGCGCGGCAGGGACATCCCAGTCCCGCTTGGTGCTCCTCGCCCGCCACCCGTGCGCCCAGTCCGCGAGGCCAGCCCAGTTCTCCCGGTCCTCACTGCCCGCCGGCCGGCCCGTCCCCCACTGCAACCATGGACGCCATCAAGAAGAAGATGCAGATGTTAAAGCTGGACAAGGAGAATGCCATCGACCGCGCAGAGCAGGCCGAGGCCGACAAGAAGCAAGCTGAGGACCGCTGCAAGCAGGTGGGGGCGTCCCAGGCCCTGCGCAGCCCCCGCCCCACCCCACAAAGAGGGCAGGGTCGGCCCTGCCCTATGCCCCCCAGCCACTGGCCTGCTCTCCAATGCTCTCTACCGTCCAGTGTGGGGGCTGCTGGGCCTTCACAATACCCCGGAGAGTCCCTCACCAGAGCCACACTTCATTCCACCCACCTTAGCCTGGGGAGCCCCAGTCCCCAGATTCCCACTCCTGCCCTTGCAGAGCCCTGATGGGCCTGCTCCTTGGGGCTGGGGCCTTTCTCTGTATGCCCACCAGGTCCCTACACACCCCTGGCTGCCCTGTCCCCCGCTGTCCTCGGATGTCCCTCTTCCTCTCTGACAGCCTCTAAATATCTCAGAACCCCCTCACCCACACCCCTGACTCCGGCCTGGGCCTGGGCCTGGCTGACTGAGGTTTTTCTCTCCCAGCTGGAAGAGGAGCAGCAGGCCCTCCAGAAAAAGCTCAAAGGGACAGAGGACGAGGTGGAAAAGTATTCTGAGTCAGTGAAGGATGCCCAGGAGAAGCTGGAGCAGGCTGAGAAGAAAGCCACTGACGTGAGTGTGGACCTGGGCTGTCGGAGAACTAGTGCACTGCTAGGGGTCCCAGACGGGGATGGAGGGGACCTTCTTCACCAGGGCTGAAAGGGTTTCCTTGCAGGAACCCAGGCTAGAGCAAGCTGGCACAAATAATTCAAGACAGTGGGTAAATCAAAACCACTTACCACTTCCCCCAGAGGACATAGCATTGCAATTCCGTTGGCTTCCAGCTCTTAGAATGTACAGTGATCAAACAATGAGTCATAGTGGGGGTGGGTGGTACAAGAATTTACCCTCCACCTCAACTAATCCTCCAGTTGAAAATGGAGAGAAGACTGCAGCTACATTTTGGGGGTGTGGGCTGTGGGTGTAGGTGCTGTGGGCAGGGGGAGAGAAGACGAGTCCAAAGATGGGCCCTGACTTGAATTACACCCCTGGGGGGCCATTAGAAATTCCCTGGCCTTGACCTCTGGCTCCAGTGGCCCTGCTGTGCACTAGGGCCCCAGCTCAGGTTCTGTCGCTCCCTTATTTACCCTCATTAAGCTGTCAGCCTCAAGACCATGCCAGGCCACAGGGCAGAGGGACAGGGCCACAAATGCCAGGGCAGCCACCTTGGCAAGTCCTGCTCACTCTGAGATTTCTCTGCCCACCCCACACCTCCTAACCAGACGTCTCCACCTCCTGCCAGTCCCAACCCCCACCTTGAGGTAGGAGAATGGCCATAAGACTTTGGACCTGGTACTTTCTCTGCCTCCTGTTCCCCATTTGCCTTCCACCCAGGATTAAGGTTAAAATGAGACTTCAACTTGGATGGATGGGGGGATTAGCATAAGCATGGTCTGAACATCCAAGATCAGAAATGACATTACTGTTTGTGTTGACCATTATCCATGTTCCCCATCCCCCCTGCCCCCAAGGTTGGTTTCTCTGACCTCCAGTCTTTGGTTTTGGTTCTTCACCCACCCTGGCACTTGGAAGGGAACTGACCTGCAGCTGCTGGTGAAGGCGACCCTGGGCATCTGACACTCTATAAATAACTACGGCCCAGTGCAGCTGGAGGCAGGACTGGAAACCCAAGGAGCCGGGTGGGGGCTGGAGAGGAGGAGGGGTGGGGGGACAGGGACAGAGCTGGGAAAGCAGGGCAGCAGCGCCAGGAGTAGAGAGGAAGCACTGCCCAGACTTATTGTATGACCTTGAACACAGCACTTAACCCATGCACTGCCTCAGTCTCTCCTTCCTCTCTTGCTTCCCGTTTATGCAATGGGGATGGCACTGTCTGTCCTGTGGCTAAGAGAGCAGCATCCATAACTGGGAAAAACTTGAGAAGCACAAAATACCAAAAGTCAGTCCTGTTCTGCAGGCCCCAGGACTTCCCAGGTTCTCCAGAGTCACTTGTTACCCCATGACCACAGACAGAGTTTCCCTTTTATAGAGTCTCACCTCTCCTTAGACCTCCAGGATTCCTCAGAGTCATTCTTCCCAACCCCCAGTGCTGTCCCCAGAATCCTTCCACACTGAGTCATCCGGCCCTGTGCCCAGGATGGGTTCCTGTCACTCTAGGTGGCCTTCAGCACCTGGAGTGTAAGGGCAACACTACTTTCTACATATGGTGTTGTTTCCCCTGTCCTATCCCCAGCGCTGCCACTGTCTCTCCCCTCTCACTCTCTTCTTCCCCTGCACTCTTCCCTTCTTTCCAGTCCTAAACCTCAGCGTCTCTATGTTTTGCCTTTGAGGGAGAGACAAGGGATGAGCTAATGTTTATGGGATGGGGACTCTGCAGGCAAGTGCTCAAGTGCTTTCTCTGTGTTATTTTACTATTTCCCAAGATTGCTTATCATCAGAATCCCTTGAGTGAGTGAGGGATGCTCACTTAGTTGTGTCTGACTCTGTGACCCCTGCCAGGCTCCTCAGAATCTCTTGAAAGCTTAAAAAAGAAAAAAAGATAGAAGGATTTCCAAGCCCCTGCCCTGAAGATCTCAGTTCAGTGGCTCTAGCATGGAGCTAAAGAACCTGGATATTTTTTTTAACCTCCCGGATGGTCTGTTACTAATCCAGCATTAGATGTACTGCATTATCTCAGAACATTCTACAAAGCAGGAACCAAGGCTTAGAGAGACGAAATAAGTTACCCAAGGTCACACAAGTAGCTCAAAGACAACAGTCTCACTCAGAACGGATGCTCTTAACACCAAATTGCACTGCTTCTCTCCTTTGCCTTTTTGGGATCTTTCTTGCTCCGTCCTCTTTTTCTCAAGGTATCATCCATTTCTATGGACCATCTCCAAAACCTCCACGGTTTTGCCTCTATATTGCAGGATCAGTGGCAGATCTGCCACTCACACTGCCCTTGCATTGCCCCCACTTGCATCCAGCACTGGCAAAGAGCCTCTTGCTACAGCCATGGGTTCCTTAGCCAGACTTGCTGCCTAAGCCTCCTGCTGTGAGTCTGCCTGGCAGCCAGTGACATCACGGAGCTTGATTCTGTGATTGGCGGATTTTAGCAGCACTGTGGCCTGGTTGGCCTGATTCTTTCCCACCCCTTGCCTGGGCCAGACTCCGCTGAGAAGTCAGGGCTGAGACCTCAGACCTGATCCCAGCAGTTGGAGTGCTCTCAGACAGGACGGGGGGCGGGGGATTTGTGTGCTGATATCCACTGGAGACTATACACAGTGCTAGAAGAGGCCCTGCAGCAGGGGAATGGAACTTGTCCAAGAGTGCATGTTTTGGGCTGGAGCACAGGATGTGTGAAGAAGATGGTTTGGTGAAAAAGAAAAATAGGTTGAATGTCTGGAGGCCAGAAAGCTTAGCTTTGTTCTGACAAGAATAACCATCCTCTGATGCCTCTCTGATCCTCATCCAAGGCAGACACAGCCTTTCTGACCTCTGACCTTTGACTCACAGGCTGAGGCAGATGTGGCCTCCCTGAACCGCCGCATTCAGCTGGTAGAGGAGGAGCTGGACCGGGCGCAGGAGCGTCTGGCTACAGCCCTGCAGAAGCTGGAGGAGGCCGAGAAGGCAGCTGACGAGAGCGAGAGGTGGGCAGGGGTGTCCTCAGAGGATGGGGCGGGGAAGGAGCCGGGAGCCAGTCCCTGCTGGTCCTAACTGCACCCCCACCACTCGCCCTGCCTCTCAGAGGAATGAAGGTCATCGAAAACCGAGCTATGAAGGATGAGGAGAAGATGGAACTGCAGGAGATGCAGCTGAAGGAGGCCAAGCACATCGCCGAGGATTCGGACCGCAAATATGAGGAGGTGACCGTCCTGCTCCACTTTGTTCTCACACCCGAATCAGACACCCCCAGTCATTCACCAGGGATCTCCTCCTTGCTCCCCTGTCCCCACAGGTGGCCAGGAAGCTGGTGATCCTGGAAGGAGAGCTGGAGCGCTCTGAAGAGAGAGCTGAGGTGGCTGAGAGGTAAGGACACCCCCGGGTGGCAAGTGAACCTCGGCCTGAGCCCAGGCTGTGGGGCACTCTGTGCCGCGGGGAGGTGGTTCCCCAAGCAGGGGACCCCAGGGACGGGTCTTGCCTCTGACCCCTGCCCGCTGCCCCCAGCCGAGCCAGGCAGCTGGAGGAGGAGCTTCGAACCATGGATCAGGCCCTCAAGTCCCTGATGGCCTCAGAGGAGGAGGTAGTCACCTCTCTGGACCTTTCTGGCCAATGGCACCTTCGCTCGGCTCACCTTCCCCTCCACCTCAGGCTGCGCTCTCTCCACCTGCTGGGGGTCGGGACGGGCCTGGGGCTTCCAGACTCTGCCTGCTGTCACTCTCACGACTTTGCTCTTCTCTTCTCTCCTCCACCCCTTCCCCGCTGTGCCCCCTCCACCGCTCCCCCACTGTGCCTTCACACCCCGCCCTGCCACACACCCCCCTGCAGTAAATGTGGGGACCTTGAGGAGGAGCTGAAAATTGTTACCAACAACTTGAAATCCCTGGAAGCCCAAGCGGATAAGGTAGAGGGGCAGAGGGGCAGTGAGGACGGCCCTACAGGGGAGGGAGGCCAGGGCCAGGCGGGCGGGGCGCGGGGCTCCCCGGAGACAGGCCCAGGAGTCGCCTGTGGGGCTCCGTGGAGAAATGAAGGCTTTGCGGGGGTGCGCTACTGATGGCCTGTGTCTGTCCCTAAAAGTATTCCACCAAAGAAGATAAATATGAAGAGGAGATCAAACTGCTGGAGGAGAAGCTAAAGGAGGTGAGAGTCCTTCCAGTCCGAATGGCCCGCAAGCCCCCCAGTCTCTACCAGAGACCTCCTGTGGCAGGGAATTGGGCACAGGGGCGGAACAGAAGGTAGACTTAAGTGATGGTGACTGGGAGGGCCTACATTTCTGTCGTTTTTCCCCATCTTGCCTTTACACCCAGGCTGAGACCCGAGCGGAGTTTGCCGAAAGGTCGGTGGCCAAGTTGGAGAAAACCATCGATGACCTGGAAGGTAAAAGTATATTCCTCTGTACCCCTGAGACTTTCACAGTAGGTCCGTACTACCCATGACTTACCTTTCCATGAGACTTGCCAGCGGTAAATTAGGACTGGACCCCCTAGGACTCCACAGGTTTTGGCAGTCTGCCTCCCATCCAAGTAGATAGATGATATAGCCCCATCAACTCCAGTGGTTTGCAAACTTGAGTAGGCATGAGAATCCCCTCAGAGAGTTTTTAAAAAATACAAATTCCTGGGTCCTGCTCTGAAGTGACTGCTGACTTTGGACTGAATCTGTGTCTTAACAAGCGCCCTGACAATGCAGATGCTGCTGGTCCTCAGACCGCACTCTGAGTAGCACTGATCTAGATAACACTGTCTCCAAGTACAACACCCTCTTTATTAAATAGAGAGCTGTTTGGTTTAATATGTAGGTTTTTGTGAAAGCATTAATGGAAAATACTATTCTAAGCTAGATTTGATGAAAACAAATATCTAGGTATTTGCTAGTCTGTAGCTACTTCTCACTCTTAACAACAACATTGTGCCTAAAACTGTCTTTCCCTTTTATTTCACTCCCACATCTCTTGCTTCCAGCCCTCTCAGGCAAGCCTCAATTTTTTCTCCAACTTTAGGCCTTTCTAGCTTGAGTGTCCTCCCTTTGAAGCAAGCACTCCTGCTTATGCAAAGCATGGTGCCCCCAGGTCCCTGGGGGGAGGCAGGAGCTCCTTGGGGAAGCACCAACTTGGGGTACAGAGAAGGACAAAAGACATAGGGGTACAGAGAGGCGAGGAGGGGGCCCTGATGGCTGTCCAGCCTGTTCTCTGACCTGTCTCCCTCATTCCATCTTCATCCACCTCTCTCTGATTCTTGTTCTCTCTTTCCATTACCCTCTGTCCTTCCACTCCGCTTTCCCTCCATTCCTTCTCCCCACACTCCCGCCTGGCCCCCCTCCCCTGGACCCCCACCAGATGAAGTCTATGCACAGAAGATGAAGTACAAGGCCATCAGTGAGGAGCTGGACAACGCACTCAATGACATCACCTCCCTCTGAGCCTCTCACCAGTGCGGCCCTCGGCCCACTCTCTCTTCTCCTTTCCATTCTCTCTCTGGGAAGCAGGGCCAGCAGGAGGAGGAGAAATTGCCAACACCGCACAGCCAGGCTGGGTGCAGCCTAGGAGAGCCCCCGCCACGTCTGCTGCCCATCCTGGCACTTGCTTCATCCTTCTATATCCATCCACTCCTCCCTCTCCCCGCCGGCCTCCACCGCTCTCTGCTGCTTAATAAACTCCATTTGGTCTCCACGCTGTTTTCCTGCCCTCTAAAGAGCACTGGTTCACTGCTGAGACCCTGGCTCCTATGGGCACCCCTAATCTTGTGACTCCCTCCCACACTGAGCTCACCCACAAAACACTGAGGCCCCCCCCAGAACCCCCTCTGCATGAGTCTCACCGCCGCCTGTGGGCACGTATGACTGTGTCAGTCACGCGGGCGGGCCCCCTGGTGCCTCTGGGATACACGCCCTTCTGCAAACCCAGGCATGTCACTGGCCTTGGAGCGCTCAGCTGAGAGCCCAGGGTATAAAGGGATGGCTGGGAGGGAAGTGGGCTGCTGAGGTGCAAGGGAGGGGTGCAAGGTTGTGAAGGGTCCGGGATGACGTCTGGAATGACGCTGGATGCCAGCAACGTGGGGGCTTTTCGCTGCAGGTCTGTTTTCTGCCTCGAGTTTGTCTATCTGTCTGATGCTCCCTTTCCTGGCTCAGTCTTTGTCTTTCCTCCTGTTTCCAACTCTCTTGAACCTTCTAAAGAAGGAGGGTAAATTAGTTTATGACTCGGGCCTTCCCATTTCACCTCCATGGCCCTGAAGCCTTGAGTGAGGCATCCCTGTCTTGGTCAGTCCGTCTCTTTGTCCCACCCAAGGGGTCCTCAGATCCCTGAATGTTTGTGTTTGTCTGCCTCCAACCCACTCCGTGTCTGTTCGTCACACCCCCTGTCCATGCCTCCCCACCCCACCCCTGCTCACGGGTTGCTTCCCCTCGCAGAGACCTTGGCCAGTGCCAAGGAGGAGAACGTGGAGATCCACCAGACCCTCGACCAGACACTGCTGGAGCTCAACAACCTCTGAGGGTTTGCCCTGCCCCAGCCAGGCTAGCTGCCACCCCACCAATAAACGGATGTCACCAGCATTATGGGACCCTTTAAGCCTTTCTTGGGTGTTGGCAGTGGTGATGGTAGTTTTCCAAAGTGGAGACGGCGAAGAGGATGCCTCAGGGGAAGAGTGAAGTGGGAAGGAGCTCTGAGTGAGCCCGAGGGTTGGGGCATGAGGGTCACCGAGGACGGGTTGTGAACAGGCTGTGTGGGGCAGAGGAGCCTGGCCCTTATTCCCCACAGGGCAGAGGAGCTGCCGTCAGTGGCACTGCCCCATTCCAGCAGGTGGCTGGGCACAACACAGCTGGAGGCAAAACCACAAAACTACATTGGTTTTACTTGAGCAGGGTGAAAACCCAGAGCCTCACTGATTTTAAGCCTAGAGACAGCCTGCCCTATAGACAGACAGACAGACACACACAAGGTTGTTCCAACACTAGGTCATTTCTGCCCGCTTCCTGATGACATCTATGTTAGGCAGACTCCTGCTGCCTCATCAAAGATGTCCATACCCTAGTCTTGTGAAATGTCACCTTACATGGGAAAAGGGACTTTGCAGTCAAGTTAAGGATTCTGAGATGGGGAGATTATTCTAGGTTAACTGGGTGGGCCCAACATAATCACAAGGGTCCTTATAAGAGGGCAGCAAGAAGGTTCAGAGCAGTTGTAGGTGATGTGACAATGGAAGCAAGAGATTGGAGTGATGCAGGAAGGGGTCACAAGCCAAGGAATGCTTGGCTTCTAGAAACTGAAAAAGGCAGGAAAATATTCTCCCCTCAAGAGTGTCCAGAGGGAACCATCCCTGACGACACCCTGACTTTAGCCCATAATATTCATTTTGGACATCTGACCTCTAGAACTCTAAGAGAATAAATTTCCATTACCAGTAAGTTTGGGGTAGTTTGTTATAGCAGCAGTAGGAAATGAATGCACCATCTTTTTGGTTTAGGAGACAAGGATTTGCTTTCCACAGGTTTTATTAGAAATATTCATTTTTAAAAATAATCTTTGGAGGTTTAAAAGGAAGTGGTGTAGGGAACAGGACAGAGTCTTCAGCTGCCCTTCAGATTCCTCTGACCAGCTTCTCTGCATATTCTCCAAGTGGCAGGCCTCTAGGCAACAGCCTCTGTGACCTCTGCTGGGTGGTAGCTAACACTCCCTTTGGTTTCACTTGGGTGTCTACACATCAGGGAAACTTAATCAGAAATCTCACCAGGGATGAGCTCATTTGCATGCAATGTGCGTGGAGCTGCTTTGGACTCCACTTGGGGAGGTGGGGGCTGGGCCTGAGGGAGAGGGTCAGTATAATACCTTCGCTGCCTTCTCATTTGCACAAGGAAGGCGATGCTGGTAACAGCAAAGAGGAGGCCAAAAACCAGGGCCAGGATGTCGCCTGGAGGGAGGAGGAAAGAGACTGCCTCAGAGGGTGAAGAAGAGCCTGTAGGATTCCCTCAGAGCCGCTTCCACCTGCACCCCACCCCGCCAGCTTTCTCTCTTAGCAGGGGCCAGCTAAGGGATGGGGGTGGGGACACAAGGAGGGGTGAAAAAAGCACCTTTTTCTTCCTTAAAGACAAAAGAGGTTACTTGGGAAGGAAGATTGGAGAGGTTTTCTTGAGCTTCATTCTGACCAACTCTTGCTCTGGGGATGACAGGGTAAGCCCCACCTTGACCCAACACTATCCTATTGGGCTTGGAGTCTGTTCTGCAGAAATGCAGAGGTAGCAGTGGTGGTCCTGACTAGCTCCTGGCTGAACAGTGCCAAGGGAGGGGGCACTCACCAGCAGCGAGACAGGAATTCAGGTGGACTGAAGAGAAAAAGCAGATGTTAGAGCTGGGGCCTGTGACCACCAGTGACAGACAAGAGAGGATGTGGGCCCTGTGGCTGGAGGGGGGCCCAGCATCAGTAGACAAAGCGGCACCTGGTTCAACAGTCCTAGGGCTGCCATCCACGCCAGCGGGGAAGGAGGCCTCAATGATTCGCCCATTCAAAGGCTGCGCAGCTCGGAAGTTCAGCTGTAGCCGAGAGTCGTCAGGTCCCCACAGGGAGTCAGAGAGGGTGTGGAGCTGGGGAGGTCAGCAGACAGTGGGGGGTGGGCTCATAACACAGAAGCAAAAGGGTCCACTGTCCCCGTCCCCCACTGCCCCCACACGGCCCCTTCATCTCTCTCTGCCTCCTCATCCCCAATGTCACCACCATACCCCAACCCCACCTGCTTAGCACTCAGCTTTACTGTCTGGTTGAACACAGTCCAGATGACCCCCTGGGCACAGGGGGGTGTGGTGAGAGACCCCTCGTATCGGAAGTAGCGGCTGAGGTCAGAGGGCAGCAGCGCAGATACATCCAGTCCTGGGACCCAAGTCTCAGAGTCTGTGGAGAGGATGTGTGCTGGGGTCCAAACTCTCTTGACCTCCCCTCATACACACACCAAAGCTCTGGGGTAGAGGGATACATTTTTAAATCCCAGAAACCAAGCTGACCCAACTCCCTGAAACTATTTCTTCACTGAGTGTATCCCTTCCCATAACTTAGCACAGGACATGACTCAGTAGCAAGTAAAAGGCTTTGGGGCTCAGAGTAAGAGAACTGCTCCCCTGGCCCTCCTTCTGGGTCTTCACTCTTACTTTGCATACTGTGATAACACGCTGGAATGCAGATGTAAGCCCAGAGTGAATCAAAAGAGAAAATGAGTAATTTTCTGAATAATTTGTAATTTGAATAATTTGTAAATAAATACCTATAACTATAAAAGACAGACACAAAAGCTCAAAAAGCACAGTTTTCTTCAGTTTAGCAAAACGTAAGATCCAGCTGGGTGAGGTTTAAAATCAGCTAGAGTGACTAAGAAGGAAAAGAAGATTTCCAACAACATTATTTACATATTTAAAATATTTGATGCTGCACTTCCCTGGTGGCTCAGTGGTAAAAGAATGCCTGCCAACGCAGAGGACATAGGTTCAGTCCCTTGCCCGGGAAAGAGCCCACATGCTGCAGAACAACTAAGGCGGTGCACCACAACTATTAAGCCTGTGCTGTAGAACCTGGAACTGCAACTACAGAACCTGCACGCTGCAAATACTGAAGCCCGCATGCCCTAGAGCGTGTGCTCCACAACAAGAGAAGCCACTGCAATGAGAAGACTGCATACTGAAACTACAGAACAGCCCCCACTCGCTACAACTAGAAAAAGTCTGCACAGCAGTGAAGACCCAGCACAGCCAATAATAAATAAAATTATTTTAAAAAATAAAATCAAATATTTGATGCTTTAAAGGAGTAATAGTTCTCAGAAAAATTTTAGCTCTCCAGACTCAACCCCTGGAGCTCCAAACACTGTGTTTTGGTTTTATTTGATTTTCATTTTATCTTGGTTTCTGTTTGATTTTTAAACAAAAAGTCTGTGGGCAGCAGTTTGCTTTGCCTGTTTGCTATGTTCAGCTTCATAGTTATTATCAAGGTCACAGTAAGCCAGTTCACACTTCAACCCCCTTCTCTGTGGGAGGGAGCCCTTCTCCATCCTCAGACCCGAGGCTCCCCAAGGATGGTTCTTTATGACAGGGGTAAGGAGCCAGACCAACAAACTGACCTTTCTCGGTGATTTCTCCCAAACGTGACAGCAACTGTTCATAGGCACTGTTTTCTTCTGGGCCTTCCTAGGAGATGACAGTGCAAAATAAATGAATACATGTATCAAGAGTCATGGCTGGAGGCCTGTAGGTGATGTGGATTCCCATAATCCTCCCTCATTCCCCAGCTCTGAGAATGCTGGGAAACACAAAATCTTATGTATTAAAAAAAAAAAAATCTTATATATTATTACTCAAGATCCATTTACTTCTACTTTGCAAACTGACTTAACCAGGTGGACTCCTTTTCAGTGGCAAATTGGAGGAGGAGGAGGAGGATGCTGGGCCATTTTACTAGGATACAAGGCTCAACGATGGACTCTACTTTTCCAGGCTCGATTATCACTAACTCTATACATATTCCATGGGCCTGCCACAGACAACCCCAATAACCTTTGTATTCATGGTACCTCTGCATTCACCTTATTGGACGCAGGACACGCTATTTCCAAGGTGCTTCTCTGCAGTGCTGTGAGGCTGGTGTTAATGAATCAGGAAAGCAGTGAGTCTAACAGATGTTTCACCATCCACAGGTGTCTCACCATCCTTCCTTCCTACTAGCCTCTTCTAATCATTGTATTTGTACCCTTGATCAGTACAGGTCCAAAGATGTCAAATGCTCCTCTAGACTCAGTGCATTTTGCAAAGGGGAAATTATGGGTTATAAAGGTATTAGAAAAATGACTCTCCCTTTTGACCATTCCCCACATCTGCCAGTCCCCAAATGGGCCATATTCTCAGTATTCTCGTGTACTTGGCTCTGCATGGAGTATCTCTTTTTCTTTCCCACTAGTGAAGGCTTCAAGTTTTACCTCCTCTGTGAGGCCTTCCCTGACTACCTCTTTGACTATGTGTCCTGTGTATATGTCTACCCTGTCAGCCTCCCTCACTGGCTGTGGAGACACAGGATCCACGGTTTCAGGATCTTTTTTTGTGGCCCAGAGCCTGGCTCACAGTGGGAGTTAATGAAAGAATTAATGAGTGAATGAAGATGACAGCCAGGTGTGGGGATGGGAGTTTCTGGGGCAAGATACTCTGAGCCCGAGGGCATAAAGCAGCAGAGGTAGGGGGTGTCTAGGGCTGGTACCTGCAGAAAGGCGGCCAAGACAGCCAAACCCCCTGGGCGCCCCAAGGCCTCGTCAAATTCCTCAAATGCAGTGCTGAGGTGAACCACGTGAATCTGGAGAAGACACGGGAGGAGTCGGCGAGATCCCTTACCGGGCACTCCACTTCGACCCTTCGCGGACAGCTGCGCGCTCACCTCGGCAGGAAAACGGTGACCATCAACCGTGTGTTCCGAGCCCGGGCGACCTGCGGCCCCCCAGTGCAAATGTAACTGCAGGGCCCGGTACTCCTGCCCGGGACCCAAGGCCATCTTCAGTCCGGAAGGCAGACTCAGCTGCACTGTGTGGTGAGAGGCAGGTGAGCCGGGGCCCGCCCATCCTCAGTCTCACTTCCAATCCCCGTCCCCTCACCTCCAGGTAGACTCCGCCCCTGCCCTGAGGCTCCGCCCGAGGCCGCCTCACCGGTGTGGCCATTGTTGCACAGGCGCAGTTTGGGTTGTGGCGGGAGCTCAAAGCCAAGGAGTTTCAGGGGTCGCAGGGCTGGACAAAAGGCGGTGAGCTCCGGGCGGATGTCTACCGGGGATTGAAAGCGGCCAGCGCAGGCTGGGGACACCTGGGGCCATGGCGGAGCGCCTGGAGTGGGCAAGTGTGCACAGGAAGTTTGAAGACAAGATCAGGAACTTTTAGGGAAGCGGAGTAGAAAAAGTGATGCGGTCGAGTCAGGAGGCATCCCGGAGGGAAACAGAGATAAAGGATGCGGGGGTCGGGGTGGGCGGGGGAAAGGCAGCGGGTGATGTCGGGGAATGGCAGACGTGGATGCGGGGTGAGAGGGATGCGCGTGCGACCATCAGCAGAGCTGGGTGCCCAGATTGGGTCTGTGTAGGGGTGGGTGTCTCACCTCCATAGCGCCAATGACTGTGGCCATCCCCTGCATAAACGAGAATAAAGAGACTGATCTTTGAGCCCAGTCCCTCCCCAGCGGCCAAAAAGAGGTGGGTCTTCCTCACTAGCAGCGTTCACAAGCTCAGATTCTTACAAAAGCATAGCAGGTAAACGCCAGAAACAGGCACAATAGGTTGCGGCCAAATAAAAATGCCACAGCTTGATGGGCCACACAAAGGTTCTGCTGGCCCCCCTTGCAACCACTGTCATAGGGTCTGTAAAGTGGGTGGAGACCTCAGTTCCCAGGCCCAGATTAGTAGACCATCTTTCTCCTTTAGAAATCCCTCCTCCTTACTCTCCCTTTCCTTTCAGATCTCCACCTCCTTTTCCAAAGTTCCTGGCTTGAGGGTCAAGATACCAGGTTCCTCTACCTGCTGTTTCCTTCTTCCGAGGTCTCACTTTCCTCATCTGTAGACTGAAGATGCGGTGATTTCTACAAGCTCTTCCTGCTCTTCCTCTGGTACCAACCCCCCATCCTTCCTCTTCTGTCTCCTCATACTTTGCTCTCCACATTCCTCCCTCTTTCTGCTCCCCAACCTCCCCCTCGCTTTTCTGTCTCTTCCTGCTTACCTCTCTCCGTGTCCCCCCCGCCTTTTTTTGTCTTTTCATCGAGCTCTGAAAGGGGGTAAGGGGTTAGTGGCAACGGAGCTCCTGGGGTTGGGAAAAATCACTGTCAGAGCACAGGCTCCTCTTCTCCCCTGAATAATCCCTCCCTGGGCTGGGGTTTAATGAGAGGAAGCACCAACCTCCTGGAGCCTAGGTTTGCAGAGCTGATGACCACTCACCTTTTTCGTCTCTGTGGGCGTTATTCTGGGGGCCTTGAGTGTCCCTGGGTACCTCAACGGTCGGCAGATCCTCTGACTTCAGAGAATTCTTTCCTGCGTCCATCTTCAATCCAGGTAGGTCCTCTTCTCCAGGTGAGTCCTCCTCTCCAGGCATATCCTCTTCACTGGGCAGGTCCTCCTCACCGAGTGGATCGTCTTCCCCAGATGAGTCTCCTCCCGTGGTGGGCACACCCTGCACCCAGAGCGGGCTCTGGGGATGGGCAGGCACCAGAAGAAGCAGTAGCGGCAGCAATCGCACAGCTGGGCCTGGGGCAGGGACGGGGATCCCCGGAGCAAACCAGGGGCTGGGGCACGGGGGAGCCATGCGGCTGACTGTGGGGTGTCCTGGGACACGGTGTGTACGGGCTGTACGTGCATCGGAGACAGGAGGTGGGTGGGGGAGGAGCAAGCCTGGAGGGGAGCAGGCTGACTCACAGAAGGCCCTTTTGGAGATGGAGCCAAAGTCCTGTGGGTCTAACTGGCCCTGTGCCCCTTCCCCGATAGCAAGGTGGGAATGGGGTGGAGTGAGGGGCAGGTATGTGCCCAGCCAGCAGGTTATCGGGGTCATGGGCTCAGCCTGGAACCCAAGGCACCACCTGGCACTATACAGGTTCTCCCTGGCACCGCCCGACTGCTAGTCAGCCAGCTTCAGCTAACCCTGGCCTGCTTCCCAGCCCCAGGCAGCTGGGGCCCCCACATCCCCTGGCTGAGAGGGGAAGCTACCCATATATACATCCCTGGCTGGGCCTGGGAGCAGGGAAAGGGGTAGGGAAAGCTCCCGGGGGAGTCTTGGGATGGGAGAGTGGATGGATGGTTAGGTGGGATGTGAATTTGAATATGAATGGACAGCTGCATATATTCATGAGTCTCTGATGCCTTAAAACTGAATGTAATATTCATCATATTACACCTCTGCTCAAAAAACTTCATTGGCTTCCCACACTCTGCAAAGTATCTTGCATCTACCTACATTCTCCCTCCAGCTGACTTCAAGTCCCTTCAAAATCTTACCCAAGAGACTTTTCCATCTTATTTCCTACTACTCTCCCTCATATTCTAGCCAAATTATGTCAGGCTAGAGATATGGAAACAAGACACAGTCCCTGTTCTGAGGAGCTCACTGTCTGGTGAGTGAGGGCAAAACTATCATAATATTTGGAGGAGAGAGATGAATTCTTCCTCAGAAAGTAACACAGAAGTTGGCAAAATCTGATCAGGGTTTAAAGTAGCAGTTCAATTGGTTAAAAAAAAGGAGGGTGGGGAATGGGATCCTGGGCAAAAGAGAGATATCAAATATTTTGAGCAGGAGAGTGACAGAATCCGTATCTCACACTAGGTTATGTTGAGAGGTGGTGTGGAGCACGGATTGGAGGGGGAAAGTGGGTGCAAAGAGGTGAAGAGTGAGAGGACCCCAAGAATGGGCTGGGGGTTCCCCGTCTGCCTAGTCACTTGACATTTGGTGAGCCCCCTCCAGTCCTCCAGGCTCGGTTCTCGGCCCGAGGGAGGCAGCAGTCACCTGGAGAGCAGCCCCTGCTGTTCTGTGGCTCACATTCTAGTGAGGCGCCGGGGCCTGACAAACCGGAAGACAGTAAGCCCACCTCAGGAGATTCTTCTCTGGGGCTCACATTCTAGTGAGGCGCCGGGGGCCTGACAAACCGGAAGACAGTAAGCCCACCTCAGGAGATTCTTGTCTGTGGCTCACATTCTAGTGAGGCGCCGGGGCCTGACAAACCGGAAGACAGTAAGCCCACCTTCAGGAGATTCTTCTCTGGGGCTCACATTCTAGTGAGGCGCCGGGGGCCTGACAAACCGGAAGACAGTAAGCCCACCTCAGGAGATTCTTGTCTGGGGCTCACATTCTAGTGAGGCGCCGGGGGCCTGACAAACCGGAAGACAGTAAGCCCACCTCAGGAGATTCTTCTCTGGGGCTCACATTCTAGTGAGGCGCCGGGGCCTGACAAACCGGAAGACAGTAAGCCCACCTCAGGAGATTCTTCTCTGGGGCTCACATTCTAGTGAGGCGCCGGGGGCCTGACAAACCGGAAGACAGTAAGCCCACCTCAGGAGATTCTTCTCTGGGGCTCATATTCAGTAGGTATGTACACCATTACGGTTGCATAATTAAATATGTTGAACATTTATAATCTGGTTTGTAACTAGCCCCTAACTCCAGGGTGCTCCTGCTACCCCACTCCGCTCTGGGGACACTCCTGGCCTTAGGAGCTCTTGTCTAAAGAAGTAATGCTTGGCACAGCATAGGTTCTAGGACACCACTTGAGTGTCCCATCCAGTTCCCACTCTGGATCAGTGCTTGTATACCCATTACCCTGTTATATAGTTTTACTATCTGCTCTGTGGAAATCCCTTTTATTATTCAAGACTCAGTTCATACAACCACTATGGAGAACAGTATGGAGCTTCCTTAAAAAACTAAATAGAACCATCATATGATCCAGCAATCCCACACTTGTGCATACGTCTGGGGAAAACCATAATTCAAAAAGATATATGCACCACTCCAATGTTTACTGCAGCACTATTTACAATAGCCAAGACATGGAAGTAACCCAAATATCCATTGACAGATGAGTAGATAAAGAAGATGGGTGTGTGTGTGTGTGTGTGTAATACTACACAGCCATAAAAAAGAAGGAAACAATACCATTTGCAGCAACATTGGTGTATCTAGAGATTGTCACAGTTAAGTAAGTCAGAGAAACAAATACCACAATATCATTTATATGTGGAATCCAAAAAAAAAAAAAGATACAAATGAACTTACTTACAAAACAGAAACAGATTCACAGAATTAGAAAAGACACTTATGGTTACCAAAGGGGAAAGGTAGAGGGGAGGGATAAAATAGGAGGTTGGGATTAACATATGCACACTACTATATGGAAAAGGATGGATATATGTGTATGTATAACTGATTCACTTTGCTGTACATCTGACAACTAACACAACACTGTATATCAACTCTACTCCAAATTAAAAAAAAAAAAAAAGACTCAGCTCAAAGGCTACCTCCTCCAGGAAGTCTTGCTTGACCAACTCTACACCACAGGAAGAGATTTCTGGTGACTCTGAACCACCACACTTCTTTGCCTGCCCTAATAATCTTGCTTACCATCCAATTCATATTAAGGTGATTTATGACATTATATCTGCTCAAATAGCCTCGAGGTTCATAAGGACAGGGTCCAGTATTTGACTGAGTCCATCTTATATTCAACAGTCTTTCATTATTGATCATTTTTCTCTTTTCAGATCACTGTCCAGGGCTTAAGAAAAACCAGACTAAGATAGCTTCCCTGCCTTCAGGGAACCCAGTGACAATGACCTGTGTATGTCAAACCACAATTATTCCAGGAGTAGGACATCACATTTCCACAGCATCCTAAACTGTGTGCCTTGTCAGAGTGACTGTCATACTTGTCAATACATATGCCAAAACTTGTATGGTTGAACAACAGCTGTGCTCCAAGCAGTCATCTTAGGAGGTAGTCAGTTTACCAATCTAGGTTGCCATTTCTGGAGCTAAATTAAGAACCATCCATGGCAATCCAAGCAGGCACTCCTGATGGTCAGCTAGCTCATTGTCTTGGGCAGCTGTGTTGTCAGAACCGTGGTTGGACCCAGACACATGGAAGGTACATGATAATATCTAAATTGGATAGGCCTGGATAAGACAGAAGGTGATAATGACTAATCTAATTGAGATGGGGGAGGTCATGGGAAGGACAAAGAACAGGAACACCATGCTACCTGAAGTTTGGAGTTTGCATGTCTAGAATTTTCTCCAACACCAATCATAGTTTTATTTCATATCCCCTTTCCGAATGTTCTGAATGTTTGCATCTTTGTATGTTTTAGATCTCTGTCAGGGTCTCCTTGCACACTTCTCTGTGCTGTCTGCACACGCCTCCCCTCCGTCTCTGCAGTTTTTCTTAGTATTTCAGGGTCCAGATCTACATCGAGGTGCAGCCCTGTGCCCCGGATCCCTAATTTCCCAAGTGCCATTCTCCATGGGTGCTGTCTCTTGAGCTCTCTGTCTCTGTGTGTGACTGTGTCTCTGGTCTGGGTGGGGAATGTGGACTCTGATCCTGGAGTGAGCCTGTGCAACTGGGAGCCTGCCAAACTCTAGAACAGGTTTGAGCTCCCAGAGTCTTGTTTCCTGTGTCTCCCTAGGTTGGGACAGAGTGTACTCAGGGCTGATTGACTAGGTCACCCCCCTTCTCCTGCCTTGGTCTGGCACACGCTTCTCTGTGGTTGCTTAAGGTCAAGTCTTTGGTCATTAGGGTCTGTGTCTTAAGACATCGAGAGCCATGTCTCTGCTTATCCCATGGCTGCAGAGAAGGGAGCTATTTACAGGTAAAGCAGGAGAAAAATCCCCCTATTCCACAGACATGGACCGGAAGCAAAGACAAATCACAGCCCTTCTGGGACTCTGGGGACTGCCCTGTAGTTCGAGCCCACCTCACCATCTGTATTATTTTCCTAGGACTGCTGTAACAAATTTCTACAAACTGGGTGGCTTAAAGCAACCAAGATTTATTCTCTCACAGTTCTGAAGGTGAGGAGTCTGAAATTAAGGTATTCGTAGGGCCCTGCTCCTTCTGAAGGTTCAAAAGCCTCTTTCAGCTTCTGGCAGCTCCAGGCATTCCTTGGTTTGTGGCTGCATAACTACAATCTGTGCTTCCGGCTTCACGTGGCCTTCTCTTGTCCGTGCGTCTTCTACTGGCTGTCTCTCTTTTTTTGACAGGTAAGAAGGAGGTTTACTTAAAGGGAACACAGTCCACAGACAGAGTGTGGGCCATCTTAGAAGGTGAAAGCGGCCCTGGCTGTCTCTTATAGATAGGGACACTTATCATTGGATTTAGGGCCCACCAGGATAATCCAGGATGATCTTAAGATTCTTAATTCAACTGTATCTACAAAAACCCTTTTTCCAGATAGGGTCACATTCACAGGTTCGAAGGGTTAGGACATGGGCTTATCTTTATGGGGGTCACCATTTAGCCCACTGTGCCATCACCCACTTTGGAACTGAACACACAGGGTGATGTGCTGGAGACCTTCATGCCTTCTGTCTATATCTCTCTTCATGTTGTAGGCAATTTCATCTACTCCCATGGCTTCTGTAAACTGATGACAGCCAAGTATCCCCAGGTTGGACTCTGCTCATCTCAGATATGTAGCCACCTGCCTAATGGATGTCCCCACTTGGATCTCCCACAAGTATCTCAAATTCAACAGGCCTCTAGCCAAATTCCTCTGTCCCCAAAACTACTTCTTCTACCCTCTACCAAGTGGTGTAAGTCAGAAACCTGGTACCATCTTTTCTTTAATTTTTTCCTTCACCTCTGACATTGTCATCAAGCCCTATAGATTCTACCTTCTAAGCTTTTCATCCTTGTGTTTCTTCCTAGTCTACAATTCCATCACCTCTTACCTGGATAACTAGATCTACCTCCTAATGGGTCTTGCTGAGTCCAGCTAGCCAGGGTGATCTCTCTAAAATGCACATATCATCTCACGCTCTATTTAAGACCTTTGAATGTTTCCCACTGCCCTTAGGATAAAGTCCATAGTATTTGACATGGCCTTCAGAGGCCTGCCATTGCCTTGTTTTCCTTGATGGGATTGAACCTAGGTGGGGCCAATCAGAATGAAGCTCTATGTTTCAAATATTTGATGACTGAGGAAGCTCACTTTCACTTTGTCCAAACATGGATAAGGAAGCACATAACCTCTGGAACTGTGGGCAGCCACCTTGTAACCCCAATGGAAGCCAGCTTTAAGATGAAGATAACACCATGGAAGACAGAGAGGGACTGTGGAAAGCAGTCCTTGGGGCTTAACTAACCCTAGAGCCTGTATCTGGACTGTAACCTGCATCTGGACTTTTCAGTTACATGAGCCAATAAATTATTATTAAGCCACTTTGAATTGATTATTTGTGACATAGTCTTACTAATATAAATTCCCTCTATAGCCTGTGTCTATGACTCCAGCCTCCTTTCTCATCACACTTTCCTTTGCAATCTGTGCTCCAGTCTTACTAAACTTCTAGCAGTTTCTTGAATCATGTGTGTGTGTGTGTGTGTGTGTGTGTGTGTGTGTTTTATCTCCAATCCCTTATACATGCTATTTTTCTTTCTACCTCACCCACACTGCCAGCTCTGCCTAGTCAAGTTTTGTCCTGTTTATCCTTTTGGCATCCTTCAGTTCACATGTTACTTCCTCTGAGAAGCGTCCCTGACCCCTGGATTAGGGTCAGTCCCTTCCCCCTGCATGCATAGAAGCCTGTATTTTCTTTGGAATGTGTATCTCACTTTGTGGTGATTCCTTACCATGTCTCTCATGCTGGACTAAAAGCATTCATGAGTGTGGGTCACATTTCTCTTGTTCCCCATCTTCATGCCTAGCATAGGATCTGATGCATGAGAGGCATGTAATATTTTTTCAATATTGATTTATTTGGCTGCTTTGGGGCTCAGTTGTGGCACGTGGGGTCTTTGTTGCCTCTTGTAGGATCTTCCGTTGAGGTTCATGAACTCTCTAGTTGTGGTGTGCAGCCTTTGCAGTTGCGGTGCTCAGGTTTAGTTGCCCTGCAGCATGTGGGATCTTAGTTCCCCAACCAGGAATCGAACCCACGTCCCCTGAATTGCATGGTGGATTCTTAACCACTGGACCACCAGGGAAGGCCCAAGGCATTTGATTTTTGTGGAATGGCTGGTGGTTATTGTTAAAGCATCCTGAGAGCTTCTCCAGCAGCCAGTTAGTTGAAAGCAGAGGTTAAAGGTAACTAAACGATAGAGGAAAAAAAAAATTTTTTTTTTTTTTGGCTGTGCCACACAGCTTACAGAATTTTAGTTTGCTGACCAAGGACTGAACCCGGGCTCCCGCAGTAAAAGCACCAAGTCCTAACCCCTGGACCACCAAAGAATCACCTTCACTCCTTTATTTTTATTTTTTTTAATTAAAAAAAAAAATATATATATATATTTTTTTAAGAATAGAGAGACTTCCCCAGTGGTCTAGTGGTTAAGACTCCACCTTCCAATGCAGGGGGTGTGGGTTCAATCCTTGGTCTGGGAACTAAGATCCCACATGCCACAGGATTTTATTTTAAAAAATAAATAAATTTTAAAGGACAGAGAGGTTGCTGACTGCTCTCTGATCCTCTTCCTTGTCCCCTGCCCCTTCCTTTAGCTTTAGGGGAGACTGTGGGTTGAGTCAATTCCAGGCAGACTATGGTGTGCCTGACTTGCTCTGTGGGACACTTGGTCTCCAGGGGATCAGTTGTCTCCAAGTGTCCTCAATGTGTCTTGCTCAGCTTTGCCCTCCTCTGCCTCAAAAGTTGAATGATTTCCCCACCTGAGCTCACAGTTGACTCCATTCCCATCACCGCTTCCGTCCACCTAAAGTACACTCACACACTGGCAGGACACGCAGACACCCTCATCACCAACTACACCCCCGGGTCTATGCTCTGTTCTCATCACCTGGGCTCATGGTGATGCCAGTTATCATGAGATGACCTGTACCCTTCCACCCTGCAGCTCTTAGTGTGGACTGTCCAACATCCAGCTGAGACAGTGTAACCAGTGCTCCACCTATATGGTATCACCAGTTCCCCTGTGACCCGTCCAAGGTACAGTCTGACCCAAACTCTCTTACCTCCACCAAGCCCTTCAAGTTGTTTTTCCCTGATCTAAGTCCAGCATTTCTCCTTCCTCAGAATTCTTATGTCAGAGAGCTAGAGGTGACCTCAGAACCCTGACAATACCCTGGTTCTTGGCTTTGGGCCTGGATTCCTATGAGTCCTCACTGGTAGTAATGGGGCCTAAGGTTTCTAACTAACATTGTGGTTTTTAATAGCACTTTTTTTTTTTTCCTAATTACAAAGTAACACATGCATGCTCAAGCAGAAAACTTGGGAAAAGCAGAGAAGTATAAGGGAATTTAAAAAATCATGCTTTTTATCCTATTCACCCCTTTAACCTTAGTGATCCAGTACCTCTTACAGCTTAGGTGCTTAATAAATATTTGTTGAATAAATTATCTTTGGTCCCATCACCCAGAGATAAAAACCACAACTACCTTTCGATTGTTTATCCTCCTAGTCATATATTTTGTTGTTGTTCAGTCACTTAGTCATGTTTGACTCTGCCACCCCATGGATTGCAGCACGCCAGGCTTCCCTGATTATACCTAAATAGATCGTATTATACAGTTTTATGGCCTGTTTTTTTCCTCTTGGCAATATACTATGTGTTTCCCAAAATTAATGGCTTTTTTACATCATCTTCAATGCTTTCATATTTTTCCTTCAAATGGCTGTACCATAATTTTCCTAGCTAATTCTCTATCATTGGGCATTTAAGTGGCTTCCAGTTTTCTGTTGTTACAAACATTTTGCCACCCATGCTAGTATATGTATTTTTGTCTGCATATCTGTTTTTTCAGGATGCATTACTAGAAGTGGAATTGCTGGGTCATAAGAGTAGGCACATTTTAAGATATCTCATACATACTGACAAAATGGCACTGCTAATTTACCCTTTAGGGCTATAGCCAGTTTTTCAAAAGACCTAACTAAGTAAGGAAAATATAGTACCTTTTAACTCTGACTAGGTAACACAGACTAATCAACTCCAAGCTTTTACCTTTGGCCAGAATTAGCAATTCCGACCCACCACGTTAGTTATTGACACTTGCTGACCTGCAGCTAACTGGCTATCAGGCTTTGGATCAGTATGAAACGAGAAAACGAGTTAGTGACTTAAAACCGAGGAACTTTTGTCCAGCGGCCAAAATATTCAAAACCTGGTGACCCGTGAGGATTCCTAATGATGAAAGGACTGGGGACAGCTGGACCCCAGCGTTTGGCATGGGTGCACGACAGAAGCTCAATTCTACAGGTGGGACACTGCGACCCTGCCAGTGTCTAAACCCCAAGTATCCTGACCCAAAGTCCGGGCTGCTGTCCCAACTTGCCGCACCCTGCCCGGCCCTGGCAGGAGACGCAGACCTGCAGCGCCGCCCTGGCGCGGACCCGATGCGGTTTAGCGAGTCGCTCGCTGCGCACGCCCTCGCCTGCGCACAGCCTCCAGGCGCCAGGGGGCGCACTCCCCCCAAGGGCCCGCCCCCGGGTCCGTTTGGATTTGAATCTCCGGCGGGCTGCGTCCGGAAGCGGCAATGCCTCAGTCCGGCATGGAGAGCCCGGCCCCCGGTGCCCGGTGCCCCGTGCAAGAGCAGCGTGCCCGTTGGGAGCGGAAACGCTCCTGCACTGCCCGGGAGCTGCTGGAGACAGAGCGGCGCTACCAGGAACAGCTGGGGCTGGTGGCCACGGTGCGAACCCGTCTCCTGTAGGGGGCGGGGACCCCAGGGAGTGGGAGCGTGCCTACTAGGTCGGTGACCTAGCGGCGCCTTGGCACCAGTCCTCTCTTTCTGCGAACTACATACCGGTATTCTCTCCTTCCGCAGTACTTCGTGGCAATTTTGAGAGCCAAAGGCACCTTGCGACCACCAAAGCGCCAGGCCCTCTTTGGGCCCTGGGAACTCATTTACGGCGCCAGCCAGTGAGTAGAAGGGGAGTGGGGAGAGAAGCGGGGAGACCTGTTTCTGGCAGTGCAGAGAGCTCAGAGTAGGGGAGATCCGGGTTCACATCCACAGTCTGCCTGTTACCTCCACTGTGGTCTTGGCCCAGCGCCTTAATCTGCCCCAGTTCTCCAGCCACTTGCCGTTCAGTCGCTAAATCGTGTGGGAATCTTCGCGACCCCATGGACTACGGCACGCCAGGCTCCCCTTCCTTCACCATCTCCGAGTTTGCTCAGACTCATATCCACTGAGTCTCCTCCCACAAAATGAGGCGGTACACCTCGGGAGCAGGGTTATGAGAATTGAGAGAGGTGGTGCTGAGTAGTTCTTGGGCTGCTCTTTTACTGCCCTTACCCGCACAGAGAGCTGCTTCCTTACCTCGAAGGAGGGCGCTGGGGACAGGGGCTGGAGGGCTTCTGCGACCACCTGGGGCTCTACACCCAATTTGCTGCCAATGTTGAGAGGTCCCGGACCGTCCTGCAGGTAACCTGATAACTTCAAGTCCTTCCCCTTGTCCTTTGTACATTTCCTCTTTATCTGGAGACCCCAACTTCATATTGTTCTTGCGTTTATAGAGCCCTGTGAGTGCCCAGCTCTATGTTAAGTTTCCCATAGGGAGTCGGGGTTCTCAGGAGCATACAGCTTCCTGAGGACCTGGGATGTGTACACAGAAGAATGCAGTATAAGGAGGGGGCTTCTCTCCCTGCTGCCAACCCTCTCCTCGTCATTCTAGGAGCAACTGAAGAGGAACAAACATTTTCGGAGATTTGTGCGACTTCAGGAAGGTCGCCCTGAGTTTGGTGGCCTTCAGCTCCAGGACCTGCTCCCTCTGCCTCTGCAGAGGCTCCAGCAGTGAGTGAACTCACCCAGACTCAGCTGACTTCTCTTAGAACTCTGCGACTGTATGATGGCTGCTCTGTCTTTGTGGGTTTCATGGGATCTGTCCCACTGTCTCTCTCCTGGGACAAACTGCTCCTCACAATTTTCTGCAAGAGTAAATGTGAACCCACTGGAGTACCTGGGCTGTGCAGCCTCAGGCCCTTAGCTGGAATTGTTTAACTTAAGCTGAAGTGAGGGGTCTGTGATAAGGCTAGTAACAAGGTTTCTGAAGATGAAAGGCTTAGAATTTCTGTCCCTGGGAATGAGTTAAGAACTTATAGTCGGTTGTTCCTAGCATCCTCTTGGGTTGATTAACTTTCACCTTGGGATCTGGTCTGCCACTCTGACCCTTCAGTATGGGATAGAAGAGGGTCATATGGAGTGAACCCAGGTTCTGAGTCCCAGATGGAAGAGGGGGATAAGACAGCCACAGGCAGGTCTTTCCTGGCTCCCCAGCTGAAGTTTGTACAGGGGGTGATCTGTGTCAGGCAGAGGAAATTGTGCCTAGCTCTACTTCCCCCTCATAAACTTCTAATTCCAGGTATGAGAATCTTGCTGTGGCTTTGGCTGAAAACACAAGTCCCAACAGCCCAGAACACAAACAGCTCACAAGTATGTTCTTGCTCTTCCACAGCATTTCTTGGAGAGTGCTTCTGTTCCCTTTCTGGTTCTGGCCTCCAACCACATATGATATGCCCCAGTCTTCCAATGATGTGTATACAATGTTCCTATTGCCCTGCCTCTACTCTTCTAGAAATTAGACTCTGACCCTAGTCCTGTCTGGATTAGCCTTTCACCACCACCATTCACCCAAAGTCAAAGTTGTGCTGGGAGTGAGGCGTGGAATATCATTCTAGGGGCTGCCCAGCTGATAAGTGAGACTGCCCAGAGAGTCCACACCATCGCTCAGAAACAGAAGAATGAACAGCATCTCCAGCGTGTCCAGGCTCTGCTGAGTGGACGGCAAGCAAAGGGGCTTATTTCAGGTAGTCCATGTGCATGCTTCCCCTCAGTCTGCAAACTGCCCTTTTCTCAGCCCCATCCTCTCTATTGCCAGCACATACCAGCCGCCTCTCATTTTCTCAGCCTCCCTTTCCTTTTATCCTGTGGGTTGTAGTCCTGAAGCTGCACCAGAATAACGATCTCCCACCTCTCAGGTCGCTGGTTCCTACGCCAGGGATGGCTATTGGTGGTGCCTCCCCGAGGGGAGCCTCGGCCCCGAATGTTCTTCCTCTTCTCTGATGCACTCCTCATGGCCAAGCCTCGACTCCCATTGCATCTGCTGCAGAGTGGCACCTTTGCCTGCCGGGCCCTCTACCCCATGGCCGAGTGTCAACTCCACAGGGTCTTTGGCCACTCAGGAGGCCCTTGTGGTGGACTGCTCAGTGTAAGTAACAGGCAAGAGCCCCAGGCAGGGTAGGAAAGGCCCAAACTATACCAGGCGCCTGTGTACCACTCATCTCCTTGGCCTAAGCCCCCCTCATAGGAACTAAGTCACCTGCATTGAGAGGATACCAGGGCTTGGGGTTCATACCTGGTTCTCACTTCAGCCCTAAATTACTGCCATGGAAAGAGCAGGGCCTTTGGCTTAAGGCTGGACCTTTCTGAGCCATGTGCTAAGAGGTGATCTCTCTCTAGCTGTCCTTTCCCCACGAGAAGCTACTGCTTATGTCCACAAACCAGGAGGAGCTGTCGCACTGGTACCACAGTCTGGCTTTGGCCATCAGGTAAGTTGTTTTCCCCCAGGAAGAGTGCTGTGGTGAGGCCCAGGAGCTGGAGGTGGCACTTCTGAGCCTATTTCATGTCTGGAACCCACCCCCACCCCCAAGCACACCCCTGTCCAACACCCCAGGTGATTTTGTTGGAATAGAGTGCTCATGCCAGTGCCTGGACTGTTTTCTCTCCACAGCAGCCAGAAGAATTAGAGGAATCTTACAAATTCCAGAGTCCAGGACACCATGGGGATAGGTCAGAATCAGGAGTACAAAGGAATCTTACTAACAAAACACAGACTCTTCATGGTTTGAGAAGAATCATTTTGTGTTTGCCTGAGACCAAGACACACCATGTCCTTTGGCCAGCTCTTAAAGAATCAGGACACCAAGTCCGACTCAGCTGAACCAGCCAATACAGAGAAGGGGATCTGGGGCTGCTAAGTTTGGTGCTGTGTCTGTGGACAGCTGTTTATCAAGTTTGCAGCTTTCCAAGTGTGGCTGTTTTTATGTTGTATATAGTTTCTATAATTTATTTTCCCACCGGATTTCAGTAAAGTTTTTTCTTTTTTGGAGAAGCCATTTCGTCTCAGCTGTGCGATACGAGAACAGGGATTTTTGTGCCCTCAAGGCTGGCATGACTGTGGCCTCAGGAATCCAAATAAAAGAACTGGAGCGCCCTCTATCTTCTTGGCTCCTGCACTGGAAGGTGGCCTCTTTAAGTCCTAATAAGGGAAGCTTTTCAAGAAGGCCTGGTTGTTCTTAGGCACCTAGTAAGGGGGGGTGGGTGTGGGTGTGTGTGTACAGCTGGAATGGAAAAAGCACACAGGAGCACCCAGTCACAGGAACAGACTCTGTTTTACTAAACCATCCACTGTTTTTCCTTCTTTCCAATGGGGGCTGTGACTGCGGCCCTGTGCTGCAGACTTCCTGCATCTTCTCCTCAGCGTGGGCTCCATTTCCCTGGGAGGAGCTAAGTTCCTTGTCCCTGTGTTCCAATTTAGGGGCTCCTCCCAGGCCTGACTGTCACCAGCCTCTTCCTCACCCTCCTCTATACAGAAGTCCTCGGGAAAGGGTATGCTGGCCTCTGTGAGGGGGGAGATCAGGCATGTCCCAGTTTCAGAGGCTTTGTGCCTGCCTGCAGCAGGCTGTCACCTCCCGACCCTGTACCTGGTCCTGGAGCCTCCGCGCCCTTGCTCGTTTTGCTGTCTTGTAACAGCTGGCGGACAGTCTGTAGCTTCACGCGCAGAAGCTGCTGCTGGGCCCCAGCCAGGGCAGTCGCGCTGCAGGCATGTCCATTCAGAGGCTGCCCAATCTCTGTCCCCACCCCTCCCACCCACCACAAGTTCTCTCTGGCCACAGGGTCACTGCTCTCCTTACCGCTCAAAAAGGGGGTCCAGCTGGGCCATCAGACTGTTCAGGTGTTGCTCTGTCTGGACAAGCTGTTGTGTCAGCTGGGCCAGCTGTTGCTCTGGGGGTATGGGAGAAAAGAGCAACGGTTACTTACTTTCTGCTGTCCCTTAATCCCCCAGGAAGCACAGACCTCTGCAGAACCCACCTGACTGCAGTGAATCCTTCTTGCCTGCCTCCTCTTGGAGAGCAGCAGCCTCATCTTTCCCCTGCTGTGGAAAAAGGCAAGGGGGATACTGCAGCAACAAGGACCTCAATAACCTCAGTCTCCAGAGCCAGACAAAGGTCCAGGATAATTTCAGATAGACAAAGCTAGTGGGTTTTTTTTAATCTCAGAGAATCATGATCATATCTATTCCAGCTCCTCACTCAGGACAGGAAGCAATATGTCAGTACTCCCCATGTGTGGTTGCTGTTCAATCTACTAAAACACCTCCAGGAAGGAGAAGCTCTGTTGTTTGATAAAGCTCTGGTTTAGTTTACACACAAAGCCAGACATAATCCATCGCGTATCTTCTTTTCATGGTGCTGAGGAGAACCTTCCAAAATCATCTTTTCAACATGACAGCCCCTCAGGAATTTGAAGGCAACGGTCAAACTCCCTGTCTTCTCTGATTTAACAGCACCAATGTTTTTCAGTCAGTGCTCATTTGACATGGTTTTCTCTGGGTGCTTTACGGTGGTTTGCTGCTGCTAAGTCACTTCAGTCGTGTCCGACTCTGTGTGACCCCATAGACGTCAGCCCAACAGGCTCCCCTGTCCCTGGGATTCTCCAGGCAAGAACACTGGAGTGGGCTGCCATTTCCTTCTCCAATGCATGGAAGTGAAAAGTGAGAGTGAAGTCACTCAGTCGTGTCCGACTCTTAGCGACCCCATGGACTGCAGCCTACCAGGCTCCTCCATCCATGGGATTTTCCAGGCAAGAGTACTGGAGTGGGGCGCCATTGCCTTCTTCGTTACTCTGGTTTAAGCGATAGCATTACCGACTCAATGGACATGAGTTTGAGCAAACTCTGGGAGATGGTGAAGGGCTGGGAAGCCTGACACGCTGCAGTCCATGAGGTCGCAGAGTCAGACACAACTTAGTGACTGAAACCACAACAATGCTTTTAAAACAGTGCCCTGAAGAGAATTAAGTTTCTTTCAGACTACACTTGGGTCCAAGAATAGAATTTATCTATCCTTGTGAAATTTCACCATTAAATTCAGCCCCTCATCCTAGCCTGTTAAGTCTACTATGGATGATTAGCTAGCCCTCCTAGTTTCATGTCATCTCCAAATTGGCTCAGTCCTCTTATTTCCCAATGTAAGTGATAGGGCCAGAGCTGAAGAGAAAGCCCTGGGAGGTACTACTTTCCATTTCAACAGTTTTAATCAACCAAAATGTACTGTCAGTTCACATTTCAGGGCCTCCTTCCCAAGGATAACTTGAGACTACTTAGTTCCTTGAACTCTTAAAAACTCTGGCTACAGTAATCAACTGCTCGTGCCAAGCTTGGAAACTCACGAGGAACCGTACTTACTATAGTATGGACATTTGCTGGGTTCAAATCTTAGCGCCACCAGTTACTATCTCTGAGTGACCTTGAGCAAGTGACAACCTCTTCAATGGATTGTCGGAAGGATTAAATGTGATGGTTACTATTTAAAATTAACCAAGAGCCCTTCACATCCATTACCTCGCTGGATGCTTTAACTAACCCCATCATGCTGGAAAGTCAGGGAAGTCCTGTCTTCATTTTACAGAATGACGGGAAAACGTGTCTTGTTCTTGGCACCATGGCGCCCTCATACAGATTCAGGGCTGGGCATCCCCACCCCTGGCCGTCCCGCACCTGCAAACACTTGTACAGCACAAAAGCCACGGCGGCCGCGGTGTACAGCGCCCCCAAGGGCAGCGACCCGGACCGAGCCCGCTCGCGCTGGTTCTTGGACGGCGGCGAGTGCCGCCCGGGTTCCGCGGCCCCAGGGCCGACCTGGGCGGCGTCGCCTGAGGAGGAGGGCAGAGGCGGGTCAGTACAGCTGGGGCTTGGGGCCCGGGGGCAGTCCCAGCCTCCCTCCAGCAGCCCTCGCTGGTACCTGGGTGTGCCCGGCGGTCGGGGCTGCGGCGGTCTCCGAGCACCTCGGGCAGCGCAGACACAAGTAGCAGCCCCAGCGTACCCGCGAGCGACACCACGCTCGCCATCGCAGGCCAACAGGGCGAGAACGCGGGAGGCGCCGGCGTTGTCGGACGCACCGGTGCACGCGCACGCAGGCGCATCCCCCAGCTATTCCCACTCCGGGCCTCCCAGGGAGGTCACGCCCACCTAGCGTGTGGGCGGGGCCAGGCCTTATTTGCATAGGTCTGTGGGCTTAACTTAGTTCATTTGTGAAACTAGTTCATTCCTTATCCCTGTATAGGTATTCTGTTAGCCAGAATGTCTCCAGAAGGCTACATTCTTAGAAGGTGGTGCCGGGAAGTGGTTTTTAAGTGCTACGCCACCAATCTCCTCACCCTAAGCGTAAAATAAATTTCCTCCTCGCGCTATAAATGGCTTGAACGCGAACCTCAGCGTGAGGTTCGTGCTGAAGGCCTGTTTCCTAGGCTACACACGGAGGACTAGTTCCTTGTTTGCGCCTAGGGGAAAGTCCCCGGACCTTGGGCAGAGAGTGCCACGCGCCCGTGCGCGTAGACTCTCCCCGCTTCTCACGACTGAGCCCGCCAAGAAGCGATCCTCCTGCCCTCGGGGTGGGGAAAGCCGAGCGGCGTGTTGCGGGGGTGTCATCCGTCAGCTTCTATAGTTACACAGGCAGTGCGCCTTCACGCGCACCAACCTCACGGGGCTCATTCTCAGCACGGCTGCTTTTGCACTTTATTTGGAAAGCACGTCTCATTTTTAACTTAAGCCAGACACACAAAATAACATTAACTGTCTCCGGGACGTTTCGAAGTCACTCTGTTTCTGCACAGTTAACATCTATATACAACTTTCAGATCTCACTTTCCTCCTGTATGTGCATGTTCCCTTCATAAGCGAAAGTGAAAGTTTCTCAGTCGTGTCCGACTCTTTGCGACCCCATGGACTATATACAGAACCCTTAACTTCTGGCTTATTCATCAGTGCAGCTATTGTACTTTCTTCAAGCAACTATTGTACGTCAATTATATTTCAATAAATCTTTTAAATTACTTAAAATTAACTAATCAACTAAAATTAATTACAAAAATAAAATACAGCTAGATTGTAAATTTCATGAGAGCAGGGGCCATATCTCTTTTTCTTTACCATGTTATTCCTATAGCCTAGCAGGCATTCAATGAATCCTTGTTGAATGAAATTAATGTATTCAAAACGACCCAACAGGTAAATATAAAGTTTTTTAAAGAATGAGGAAACTAAGGTTCAGGAAGGTTAAGTTTGTAATCAGGTTAAGAGGCTGGCAGAGATTTCAACCGTTTTCTGTCTATCTGCATAAGATCTGCCACTCATCACCACCTATCCAGGCTCTCCTGCACCTCCTCCAGTCAGAGTTGAGTAATCTTTCTCCTTTCCACACTGTCTTTTAATTGTCTAGGATACATAGGGCCCTATTCCTAATTAGACCAAGAACTCTTTGAGGCAAGAAACCATTTTCCACTTACATTTGTATCTCCAGAGCTTGGTATATAAGCAAGCAATTGGTACGTATGTATTAAACAAATGAGGTATAGGTGTGTTAAATAAATGAATGAAATACAGGTATATCTTTTTGTCCTTCCAGAAAGGGAGTGGGCAGGGCAGAGAGAGACCCTCACTCAGGATAGTTGTCCTGTCTAGCGGAATACCCAGAGGCAACCTGGCTTGGCAGTCCAAACCCTGACACTAAGCCAGTTGACATAATCAATGTAAACAAGTGATTCAGGCCAGTTGTAATATGATAAATGGCCCCCAGCTGATTGTTGCCTTTAGAGAATTCGGGCCCACTATTGCCCTTCTGATTTTTTTCCAATATATCAATGAATCGGGATTTCAAAAAACTGCAACTCCAGTTTTTAAAGGTTGACAACGAATCAGTGGCATATGAGAGTCACCTCAGTCATGTCCGACTCTTTGCGACCCCATGGACTGTAGCCTGCCAGGCTCCTCTGTTCATGTAATTCTCCAGGCAAGAATACTGGAGAGGGTTGCCATTTCCTTCTCCAAATAAATAGTAAATGGAACTAATTAACAGGGCCCAGAAAATAATAAGGGCCAGAAAATCAGACAGTGAGTTATCTCTTTTATTGGAGTCTGTAGATATAATCATGACAATATAAAAAGAGTTAAAATTGAAGAGTTACATTACAGAACAAGAAAGGGTAATGAATTTCTTTGCTACATTATTGTATTTTTTGAGAAAGAGGTAAAAAACTTGTACCTACATAGTAACCTAGCTGAGTAATGAATAACTCCAATCTCTTCTTCTACAGCTAACTTCTGAAAATTTGTCAAAAATAATTTTGGCATATTCATATTCAATAGAGAATATAGCTACATTTGTCAATTTCCACCCATAGTTGATTAAAGAATACCTTTTATTAATTTTCATTTCAAAAAAGTTTCTTTCATATGAAGCAACAGACATACAAATGGGAAAAGAAAGTCTTAAACTAAGGGATGTTTGGCAGAGATTCATAAAAATTCCATTTCACAGTAAATTCCAGACATTTTCAATACAAACAAAAACTAAGTGGTCACCTAGAATGACAGAATTAAACTACTCAAGCTCAGTTTGACTTTTCAATCACTTTGCAAATCATTGTTTGTTTTTAAATCTATTGGTTAGATGCAGGAATATATAATATCATAGGAGTTGGACACAGAAATTGTGCCCAAACCAAAAAACAATTAAAAACTGTTAAGAACTAATTCTGGATATAAACACATATAGCTCAACCTTGTGTCAGGAGCCAGCTGTATACCTAGGATTATACAGCTGTATAACTAGGATTCTACAGATTAACTTCCATGCAGATTATAATATATACATTAAAAAAAAATTTGGCTATGCCAGTTCTTAGTTGCAGCATTCAAACTCTTAGTTGCAGAATGTGAAATCTAGTTTCCTGACCAGGGATGGAACCTAAGCCCTCTGCATTGGGAGCATGGAGTCTTAACCACTGGACCACCAGGAAAGTTGTGGATTATAATATTTTTAAAGGGTAAGTAACACAAATGTGCTAATTTGAAGTTTCAGTTCAGTTTACTTGCTCAGTTGTGTCCGACTCTTTGCGACCCCATGGACTGCAGCACACCAGGCTTCCCTGTCCATCACCAACTCCCAGAGCTTACTCATGTCCATTGAGTCAGTGATGCCATTCAACCACCTCATCCTCTGTTGTCCCCTTTTCCTCCCACCTTCAATCTTTCCCAGCATCAGGGTCTTTTCAGATGAGTCAGTTCTTTCCATCAGGTCGCCAAAATATTGGAGTTTCAGCTTGAGCATCAGTCCTTCCAATGAATTTTACATATTTGAAATTTGAATTTTACATAGTATTAAAACTCACCAGTAACCACAACAATTTAGAACATATATCTACAAGATATTTTCCAGAGGGCTTCCCTGATGGTCCAGTAGTTCAGAATCGGCCTTGCAATGCAAGGGATATCAGTTCGATCCCTGGTCAGGAAGATGCCAGCGGAGCAACTAAGCCAGTGCACCACAACTACTGAATCCTCCATCTAGAACCCGAGAGCTGCAAGTACTGAAGCCCCTAGAGCCTGAACTCCGGCAGCAAGAGAGGGCACCGCATTGAGAAGCCTGAGCAACACATTTAGATAAAGCCCATGTGCTGCAACGAAGACTCCGCACAGCCAAAAAATAATTTAAAATACATTTTTCAGAAAGGAATATTTTATTATTGATTTTTTCTTTTTTTTTTTTAGAATTGCTGGGACATAGTGATAATGAAAAGGACACTGACTTTTAGTGAGTTTTGTTTTTAAATTCTTTAGAAACAATACCCTCTTATTGATTGCTTAGAGTGGCAGGACCTCTGCTACCATGCCCACCCTAGGCACACTGCTACAATGATTTTAAATCTTTGAAAAAAAAAAAAAAACATCATATGGGCTAGACAAAACAGATCTCTGACCTCTGGTCTAAGGTTTATATTTGGAACTTAGAATCCCTCTTCCCACATCAGTAGCCTCCCATGTGGCTGAGCTGTCTCCCTGCGGGGCAGCACTTGGCCGCTCCCTGAAGTGAACAAGTGCAAACACTGGGCTGCTTCCCAGGACAGGACTGGGGCAGAGGTTTCTTTACTTCAACTAACTTTTGAGGTTCACAGTTCTTAGGGACAGCTTGGATGAAGTGGACTGGAGGAGGGAATCAAGCTTCCTCTACCCCCTAAATCTATTACACCAGTAATAATAACAATAACAAAAGTCATTCTTAACACCTGTCCCTTGGTTGGGGGGCAGCCTCAGCATGTGGTGCAATTGTAGGCAGAAGGGGGCCTCCTCATCCCGTTTTCATGTAGCATGCCCACTGAGGATTATGTCCTCCCTCTCCTTATTCTCTGTCAAGGGACTCAGCACTGGAGAGAAGGGGCAGACACCCTGGGGCAGAAAGTAATCTCCATCATGAGGCCTGGCTTGTCTTGTAGGTCCTGCCTCAGGCCACTTCTGCCCGCCTTGGGGTCTTCATGAGCTCACGTGAGCTCACGGTAAACTCAGGCCTGCCTTTTTTCTGACTGAAATGGGTACAGGGTACAGGGGGGGGCGTGGGGGTGGGGGCGGAAGCTTAAGAGCTCCGGGGTGGCGCAGGTGCAGGCACAGGGCGGTGTCTTTGTTCTTCAACTCATCCCTTCCCTCCCCCTCCTCCTCTCCCCCTTCCTCCCCGGAAATCAGCGACTTTGCCACCACCGGTATTGAAGATGCTGAGCTGTGGGGGTCAGGCCCAGAGAGGGGTGGGAGTAAAGGGGGCTGCCACAGCTGTCAGATCATAAATCAGGCTGATCCTTTGGCTTCAGGGCAGGATGTCTACAGCAGGCCAGAGCAGCTGCAATTGCACGGATCGGCTACTGCCCGGTGAGCTGGGCGGGGCAGGGGCAGGGGGAGGGGTCACGTGGCCCCTTGTCCCACTTGCTGGGCCTTGGAGGGTTAGGCTGGGCAGTAACACTCCCTCCCCACTCTCTCACATCCACAGGAATCCCCTCTCTGAGCCACGGCTGGGGGCTGTGGGCCCTCTCAGGGGCTGTGACCCTGCTGCTCCTCATCTCACTGGCTGTGCACTTGTTCCAGTGGACCAGCGGCCGGAGCAGGAGCCACCCAGGGCACGGACGGTGAGTGGGGGACAAGAAAGATGGGCTGATGGAGAGTTCCCCCTTACCAACAAGCTGCCTCTCATCCCCTAAAATCTGTGTTGCAGCTCTGGGGAGTCTGTGGAAGACGTTCCTCTGTATGGGAACCTGCATTATCTGCAGACAGGTAGGAAGCTGGTCAAGGGGAGGGGTGCAAGTGGCCAGGTCCTGGGTGCAGGGGAAGAACAAGAGTGACCAGACTCCTGTTCCCTGCCCCAGGACGGCTGTCTCGGGAACCAGGGCCAGGCCCACAGGATGCAGCCCCTGGAGGCCCTGCCGGGGTGAGTCATTGTGGCTGAAGAGGGGAGGGAAGGTAGTGGGGGATTTCTAAAAGGGTCCCGGGAGCTTCTAACAGCCTTGCATCTCCAGGCTGCAGAGGAGGTGATGTGCTATACCAGCCTGCAGCTGCGGCCTCCTCAGGGCTGGGTCCCCAGCCCTGGAAGCCCTATCAAGTACTCGGAGGTGGTGCTGGACTCCGAGCCAAAGCCCCAGGCCTCAGACCCTGAGCCAGAGCTCTACGCCTCCGTGTGTGCCCAGGGGCGCAGGGCCCGAGCTTCTTTTCCAGACCAGGCCTATGCCAACAGCCATCCCGCACCCAGCTGAGACAGGGGGCCTGGCGCATCCATCTCCCCAGCCTCCTCGGTTGCATGGGTTACTGCTACCCCGTCTGGGGCCATGACTGTTTCCTGACCACCCCCTGAAGACAGGCAGCCCTTCCTCAGTCACAGGAGTGATGGTCCCTGAACTTCCTATCTGAGCTGTGAGGGAGACCTCTCAGAGGAATGGCAGGCCCTGATTCTTGAGGATGGAGGAAGAAAAGGCAGTGGCCCCCACCTCCACCCTTTTTTTCCCCCCCTCTATCTATTCTTCTCAACCCCCAAACTCCAGATCCTTCCCATTCCACGCCTTTTAGTCTACCCCTGACATCTCGATGTCTTACACCAGAAGTGGGCAGTAGGGGAGGGGGAAAGAGTCTGCGAGGTCAGTGAGGGGTATCCTCCTCAGGAGCCCACAGGCTGGACGGGTCCTGGAATCCGGTGACCTGAGAAACCCAAGCCTGGTCTCTGACTTGAGAAGCCTGGCAGAACACCAGTCTCCATCCTGCCGTCTCTGTCGTGTGCCAAAGTTTTTAAATAAAACTTCTGAAAAAAGCGTTTCGATTTGACCTAGAGAGTGAGACACACCTGCAAGAGGCCCCACATGGTGGGCCTGCGAAATCTGCTCTCTGTGCAGAGCGCTTCTGGGAGCATCTACCTGGGAAAGAGGGGCCGCAGCATCACTGATGCAGGGGTGGGTCTTACAGGTGGGGGCCGGAGTCCAGTTGCTGCTAGACCGTCCCCAGGATTTGCACACAGAGCCTCTCCACTCCCATCACCTGGGGTCTGCAAGCTTCCCAGCCTCTGACCTACCTGCCCAGGGCCATCACCCACCACCTGAGGTCTGGGCCATTTCCCGCTTCAGCCTTTGTCGATCTCCTGACAGACTTTACTGAGGTTTGAGCGGAAAAGAGGGAGAAGCTGAGGCTTTTACTTCCAAACTTCTCTCCTTTCCACTTAGAGTTCCAGAGAAAACCACAGAGTAGGTTTTCTAGGGTTCCTGGACCTTTGAGGACCCCAACCTGGGCCTCCCCAGAAGAGGTCCCGGCCGCGGTTAACAGCAGGCAGCTGGGTCTGCGTAGGAGGGAAGGTGGCTTTAGGGGCGGGTACCGGACGTGGGGAACCGCCGGCAGCTGGATGTGGGGTTCTAACAGCTGCTGTGCTAAAGACGACTCAGTGTGCTCGCGGCCCAGGAGACATGAGACCCTGACCTTGGGAGACGCAAAGGCTGGGGTCCAGCCAACCTCCTGGGACGAGCCGGGAACAGCGGCGGAGGTCTCAAGAGCCCGCAATCCAGGCGCAAACCTCGGCCCCTAGACGCCGTAGGTCTCAAGAGCCCGCAATCCAGGCGCAAACCTCGGCCCCTAGACGCCGTCCCGTCGCGGGATTCACACAGCGCCCGCGGTCTCGGCTCGCTCAGGACTAAGCCGCGAGCGCCCCCTCCCGACGCGACGCGGCCTCGCCACCACCTCTGCGCAGCTCGGCCCACAGCATGCTGGGAGATGTAGTCCCGAACGGGCGGGACCGCCCTTCCGAGTCTCTCCTGGGACTTCGCTGAGCTCTGGCCGTGTGGTCTCTGAGAGGCGGCCGTCCGTCTGAAGCTGGGTGCTATATAAACTTTGTTCTCCTTCCAGTTACCAAAGCCTGGATCCTCTGCCTTCTCTTTCTTCTACAACTCTTGGATTTTTCTTACCTTCTCATCTCGTTTATCACCGAGACTCGTGCCCTAGTCTAGGTCCTCATGCCTGAACGCCAGGACTGTGGCAACTTACTGAGTAATCTCTGCATCTAGGAAATAAGTCGAGGCAGCCAGATCCGCCTCCGACACCTTCTAAGCGCCCCCCAACCCCCCGCCACGTCTCGTTAGCTGATCATGAAATAACTGACAGTTCTCGCCCCTTCTACAGCTCCAGGTGCTTTTCTTAGCAGCTTCCCTTCCCTCCCTGGTGTCTATTTCCAGCCCGAAGGAGCGCCTCGTCCTACGCAAATCCCCAGGGGTGGAGTCTTAGGGGAAGTCACCGGGGCCGGGGTGGGTGTGTGTTTGGGGTGGGGGAGGGAGGTGCGTGTTGCGGGGGCTGGGGTGGAGTGGGGTGAGGAGGTGGTGGTGGCAGGAGGGCAGCCCAGCTTTCCCCCTCTCTCTGAGACTCCAGCTGGGAGGATAGAATTACGCTAAAGATGCGAAGAGGCAGGGTCTTTGGGACAATCAAAGGCGCAATAATCTTCATAACTCTGGGAGATGATGAAGGACAGGGAAACCTGGTGTGCTGGTGGCAAAGAGTCACACAACTTAGCGACTGAACAACAAAGGAATTACTTCTAGGTGGGGAAGGGCCTCAGAAGCCCTTCAGCCAAGGTCCCTCCAGCGTTGACCTTGCTCTGCACTGTCAAGATGACCTAAACTTACAAGTAGTTTTGGCTACAAAGGAAGGGAAACAAAGTTGAGACATGGAGACAGACCAAGTCTTAATGACTTCATTTGAAGCCTTGGATTCAGCCATGCCCAGAGCTAGACCAGCCTCCTCAACTTTTCGGTTCTGTAAGCTAATAAATTCCCTTTTTTGCATAATTCAGACTAAGTTGGATTTTTTTCTCTCTCGCAACCACAAGTTCTGACTAATTCTGTGGGGAAAGACCAGCTGATCAAGGCCAACTGAAGATGCTAAACCTCTGAGATCTTTCCTTATTGTTTAACTCCACCAACCACCCTCCTCTGATTTAATAACTAAATATTCCATCATGCCGTTTGAACCTAAGAGAGTTCTGCATACGGTGTGAGTTAATCTAGTCTCTCTCTTGCCAAGCTTTTACATTTCTAGATGTAAAGGAAGCTGAGAGACCTGACCCAAACTTATACCCACTGCAGGAATCACCCTATGAGCTTCCAGAGATTGGGAACTCATTTCCTTACCAAACACTGCTTCCACGCTTTCTTATTGTTATAGCTTCTTTTTTTAAGGAGAATCTACTTCCCTGTTACTTTTGTCACCAGTTCTGCCCCCTGAGCTAGAGTTATACCGTCTTCTCCCTCCTGTACATGACAGCCCTGGAGGAATTTGGAGCCAGCGTTGATGGATGGCCGAGGTCTCCCCGCTCCACCACCACTTCGTCCCAGGAAGCGCTTTCTAAAGTTCCTTTTACAGTTCTTTCATAGACCATATTTGCAGCCTACTCATCCTAAGAAGTGGGGGCCCATCTCTTTATTGGGCACTTAATCTACAGGACCTTTGTTGTAAAGGAATATATTCATTTAGCCTAGCTTAAGTAAAGGGGTGTTTATTGTAAGGACACCTGGGTAATTAAGAGGCTGGATGGAATGGGAATCCCATAACAGTGTCTGTGATCTGACTGGGCATATGCAGACTGTTATTATCTCTGATTCTGGCATCACTGGGGACCTTGGTGACAGGAGGATGTGGGTCTTCACACTCCTTCTCCTCCAGCCCTGTGAATCACTCCGTCTCTGCTTCTTTTATTTTCCCCCCAAATTTCTTACCACTTCGCTAACCTGCTTCCTATCCCTTAAAGTGTATTCTCTACTTCATGCTTCTGCTTCCTCACAACAGTTTTATATTTCCTCCTCTGTCTCATGATCTCAGTTACATGTTTAATTATAGGAATAATGTGAACACATGATTAAAAAAATAAATCAGATCTAAAGGGTATACAACAGTGGTTCTCAACCAGAAGTAACTGTGACAACCCCAGGGGACATTTGGCAATATCCGGAGACACTTTTGGTTCACAGCTGGAGAGGGAGTGCTGTCAGTCTGTAGTGGGTGGAAGCCAGGGATGCTGCTCGACACTCAGATCAGTCACTCACAGCAGACAATTGCTGGCCCCCAAAGTTAAAAGTGCCAATGTTGAGAATTCCTACTAGAGGGGGAAAAAACAAAATAAAAGGCCATCCCCCCCCCACCTCATTCCTACACCCAGGTGTACTTCCCAGAGGTACCTACCCTTTATGGCTTCTCTGTTTAGGTCTTTGGTAAACATCATTGTGCGCCTGTGCTAAGTCGCTTCAGCCATGTCCCACTCTTGGCGATCCTATGGAATGTAGCCCGCCAGCCTCCTCTGTCCATGAGGTTCTCCAGGTGAGAATACTGGAATGAGTTGCCATGCCCCCCTCCAGGTGACTCCCCAACCCAGGGACTGAGCCCAAGTCTGTGGTTCCTACATTGCAGGTGCATTCTTTACCACTGAGCCACCACAGGGGAAACCCAGAGTATCACTGTATCTGTCAATTAAACTACCCAGAGGGAGGAGATTCTGGGCATGTAGCAACCCTGCGGGAGCTTCCACACCTCTCTGGCAGCTCTCAGCTACAGGTGATAAACTTTACATGGGCTCTCCTGAACTGGCTGAGGCAACTCCCTGCAGACAAGTTTCTGGAGAGCAGCCTCAGGATGGCAGGAAGTCTCAGAACAGTCGGCTTCCCAAGAACAATGAATGGCTTTGCTGAGTTCCCTGACTCTCCAAAAAACTCATGGTGGGATCAACTTTCTCAGTCCTTGAGGCTGGGAGAATGCAAGCAAACCAGAGGGCAGACAGACCTGCTAGAGGAAACAGACAAACCTCTTACTGAAAAAATGAGAGCCTGGAGGAGATGTGTGTGAAACTCAAACACAAAAGATTTCCCTGAACCTGAAAATATGTTATCAAAACTAAAAATGTTCATAGATAAAGCAAAGGTGAAGCTAAAACTCAAAAAACAGGTCTAGAAAAATCAAATAGATGAAATATCTCAAAACATGTAACAAAAACACGTGGATGCAAATCATGTGGTCAAAGATGGGAAACTGGAACAGACCCAGGAGAGTTAACTGCAAATTCTATGAGTTCCTGGAGAAAAAGGAACAGGAGAGGAGAGATCATAATTAAATCAGTTCAGTTCAGTTCAGTTCAGTCGCTGAGTTGTGTCCAACTCTTTGTAACCCCTTGGACTGCAGCACGCCAGGCCTCCCTGTCCATCACCAACTCCCGGAGTTTACTCAAATTCCTGTCATTGAG